AGAAAAGAAAATTAAATATACACACATAACTAATTGAGGCATGCTCAAGGCATTTGTACAAATGTTTCCTTTATTTATATAAATTAATCCAAAGGTGAATTTGTATTGCTTCAGTCCTGAGGAAGAGAAAAACTCTTAAAAGATTGACTTTTAAGTATTACGTTAGTCCAATTAAAAAAGGTATAATTGCATCTGCAATACTCTGATATTTTGGTGTCTTGTCTACTGGATTAATACGGTTAACTCAATCTACATTACATAACTAACACACACACACACACAATTTACATTATTATTATTATTTATATAGCACCATCAGATTCTGTAGCGCTGTACAGTGGGTGGACTAACAGATATGTAATTGTAACCAGACAACTGGAGGGCCCTGTTCAATGAGCTTACATTCTAGAGGGAGTGGAGTATAGTAACACAAAGGGTAAAGGGTAAAATTAGGGGTACGAAGTAGGTTGTTAGAAAAGTTTTCACTGAGGGCTTAGTAGGTAATTTTTGACAGTTGCAGGAAAAGAGTCATGGGGGTGGGGGATAAAAAACAGTTTAATTGATATGCTTTCTTGAAGAAGTGCGTTTTCAAAGATTTTTTTGAATGAGTGGAGACTGGGTGAAAGTCTTACCGAGAAGGGAAGGGAGTTACACAGAAGAGGTGCAGCCCTAGAGAAATCGTAGAGGCGAGCATTAGCGTAGGGGCCTCGACGGGACATACTTGTGTATTATGGAGGATAGGTAGGTTGGAGCAGCATTATGTAGAGACTTGTAAGCAAGCACCAGAATGTTAAATTGAGCCCTATATCTAACATTACATAACACAAACACACACCCTGGAGCACCTATACTGATGATATCTGCTCCAACTCAATGCTTCTCAGAGACCAGCACTGGTTACATAAGGTGCATGCATGACAATCAGCAGTGGTCTCACAAGGAAGCACTCGCTTCCACTTCAAATAAAAAGTCAAAGCTAGTGAGGCAGGAAATGCTCCAGGCTGTCTCAATGATACAAAGGAGGCGCTACTAAGGTCATTCTAAAAGTGACTGATACTCTTGACATCACATTTTTATAAAATAAGCCTGAGGCGACATGCAGTTATTTCCTAAAGCAATTGTCCCTTTAGCAAGCTTAAAAATGTGTCTTGTAACTTATAAATGTGTATTTTCCACAAATAGATAGATGGATTGTGGAACTCTTTCCGATGATTCACAATTGGATGCTATTTTATTGTATTTTGCACAATAATAATAAAGACATAAGTGACTGGCTAGCAGTCAAGCAGAAAATAGCAAAATGTAAATAACCACATTATATTTTAAGCTTTTGTTCCAATTTTTGCAGACTGCAATGGCATCACAAACAAGAGATCACACATTAGTAATAATATAAACATGTAAAAAGCATTGCTCATTATATTTAACTGACTCAAGGATTTCAAACATTAAATGCAGATAATTTTCTGTTCCCATACCATCCACATCCCAAGGTGGGTGTGGTGAAACAGACACAGAGCACCATATCAACTACAGCCAGTTGTAGAGGTTATGGTGCTAAAAGGCTACTGCTGCTCCCTACAACTTTGAGCGGTTTGACACAAAACTATGGGTCCAGCAGATGGTCCATTGCTCGCCATAATGTTAATGTCGAAATTATGTAATTTGCGTTCAGATTTGGACAGCATTGATTGGATGCCATCTAATACTCTCAACCAATCAATTCCGTTCATACTACCAAACCCATCCGAAACAGACACTGCTAATGTAGAGGTGTAAATTCCACTTCAACAATCCAATGAGTGTTGAGTCAAGCTATGTGTACCTGGTCCATGCTCAACAGTAAAGACAGCATCAGTAATACAATGGGCTGTAGTGATTACGGTATCCAGGTTACGCGCTCACTAACAAAAATGCACACAGGGTGATTAAAGTGTGAACTAAAAGTAAATTCAGGCCAAAACAGTTGAACTGAGAACAAAATTGACTTGTAAAATAAAATTTCATATTTGGCTATTCTGGCATATTTGGCATTTACTTTGAATGCACTAGAATTTACACTTCCGTGAATAATCCTGATAATGTCACTGGGTGCCAGTGTGCTTGTGATTATTGCTAATGAGAGTCGACTTTCAGTAAAACTTTATAACAGCACAAACCATTTAACTAACGGGGTCTTATTCACTGAATAATGGTGAACTGTAATCTGAATTTCAAAATTTGCTGGTGGTTTGGCTATATGAGTTAAATGTCACAATATGTTTTTGAAATCACTACGTATTGCTATTTAGTGAATAAACTCCCCATTTAAAAGGACACTTTAGTCATCAGAACCATAATGTAATGCTTCTGGTGTCTATAGCCTGTTTAATGTAAACACTGAAACAAGATTGTGTTTATATTGGTGCCTAGTAACACCTCTAGTGGCAATCACTCAGAGGACCACTGCAGGTGCTTCCTAATCCAGTGCTGTACAATGTGCAGCACTGGAATTCAGCATCTCCACGCTCTGCATGGTGGCACTGAACATTCCCCATAGAGATACATTGATTCAAAGCATCTCTACGAGGAGATGCGGATTGTCACAGTGTGGCTTTTTGCTGTTTGTTGCTTAGTGTCTGATCAGTAAGGTTAAAGGACCACTATAGTGCCAAAAAAATAAATAAATAAATAAATAAATAAAAAAACTTGTTTTCCTGGCTCCATAGGGTCATTAGGTCCCCCCCACCCTCATGGCCCCCCTCCCGCTGGGCTGAAGGGGTTAAAACCCCTTCAGCCACTTACCTTTCTCCAGTGCCGGCCTCCCTCGGCGCTGGGGAACTCTCCTACTCCATTACTCAATGCTTTCCTATGGACGTCAACGTCTTCTCACCTTGATTTTCACAGTGAGAATCGCAGAAGTGGCCTCTAGTGGCTGTCAGTGAGACAGCCACTAGAGGCTGGATTAACCCTCAGTGTAAACATACCAGTTTCTCTGTTTTCAGCTGCAGGGTTAAAACTAGAGGGACCTGGCACCCAGACCACTTCATTGAGCTGAAGTGGTCTGGGTGCCTATAGTGGTCCTTTAATGATATCAGCCATGGAGGCAGAGCCAGACATGGTTAGACCTGCGTGGCGTGGGAACAATATGAGCAAATTCACCTTTTCATCGCAATCTAAGCGGGGCTGGAGACCTAAACAGTCACACCAGCACTATAATGTCAGAAATACAGTACATGGTTTGAATTCCTGACATTATAGTGTTGCTTTGAAAGTGAGTTGAGAATGATCAAGATTCCCATTTCTCTCTAGATTATAACCATGGCTATCTTTAACTGTGCTCATCTATGCAAAAACTCACAGTGTTAAAATTAGAAGCATGAAAGTTTTATTCCCGGTCAGCCATAGACAAAAGTCAGGCAGGGACCAGGGGCATTTTCAGTGTAACCTATTAAACTAAACTGAGGGAACAACAAATCCATCATCACTATGATCAGATACTTCCCAACTCCAAAAAGGTAATGTGATTTTTTTTGTTTACATGAATCAACAAGCTTTAATTATGAAAAATATTTATATTAATTGTGCAGTCCATAATCTGCATTGTTAAACATGCAGCTTGCCACTTTTAAAATGGTACCTACCGAATTTGAGAACAATTGTGGATATTGAATTTCACATTTATTGTTTTAAAGGAAAAAGACATGACATCCATTGATACGTGTTTATTAAAGGGCTTCTCCAACCACCATGACTACTTCTGCTTTTGAAAGTGGTCATGACGGTAGAAGTCTGCATGTGCAGGTATGCAGAAACAGATATTTACACGTCAGACTGCGAAGTGGAGAGCAGCACAGGAGCTTTGTCTGAGGGAGAGGTGTCTAATTAGCAATGCCCAATAGGGCATGCTAAACCAAACACATGGTTACGCTTAAAAAAAGGATTGGACTTAGCCATTAAGTTGGGTCAGATAAATTTAGAATGGACCTGGACATCCACTGCCTAGCCGAGATAGGGAACACAGAGGTATTATTTATGGCACATACCAGGGGGGTAAGCAATCTTTGGACCTCAAGGAGTTAAGGACTACATCTCACCTGATGCTTTGCCAGCATTTCGGCTGTAAAGAGCATCATGGAAGATGTGGTCCACAACATCTTTAATGCTGAAGGTTGCCTCCCCCGGCATTGAAATGGAAAACCTGTTACTCTGGAAATACACTGTAAGTGTTAAACATGAAAACAAATTGTATTATTCTGCACACTGGGCAAGATGTAGAAATGTTTCACCAGCATAACTTGCAAAGCAAAGTTCTAAGAGTGCAGTAATCTTAATGGGAACTAGTGGAATCAGCAGGAAGATTTCACTCGTTTCCATGGCGACTGTACCACTTTTAGAACCTTCCTTTAGAATAACATTTTATATATCATCCACACTGTGTCTAGCGCCCCAGTGATAAAGGCTCAAGATTCAAAACATACTTTTGTTTTTTTCCCAACCGATTGAAGTCTATTCACTATGTGATGAACAGCATCTGAATGGCATTCTGATGTCCAGGCTTGACAATTTCATCCAAAAATCTGCCATGTGAAACTTGGCTTTTAACAAAAAGCAAACTTGACTGTATCTGCACAACAATTCAGTGGTCATTAAATTACCTGTTAAAGTCATACAAATCTTTATGTACCTTTGATATTCTGGCTATTTGCAAAAACTGGATTCCCTTAATTAGCATATTAGTAAGACAGATCAGCGGATTTTCACCCGTACCCTAATACCTACTAATGCTGCCCCCCATACTACACAATTTTGGCTTCCTGTAAAGGGGGATACCTATGGACAGACCAAAAAGGGGCAAACCAATGAGGTGAATGGCATTTTTGGCAAACTTTCTTAAAAGGAGAAAGGCAAATTGAAAAAGTAGGCAGGTCAGGTAGTAGGAACACAAGCATGGCTTACTGCAAATCACTTAAGCCAGTTCCATTAAGGGCTAACCATGCAGAGTGATGTTACTGCACCCGCTGCAAGGTCCTAGTGCCTTTAGCGCAGAATGAATAGGTCTAAAAATGATTGTATTACCACTTCTGGGGGACAGTTCCAAGAAGAGGGACACAAAGATGCAAACCCAGGATGGGAGGACAGGACCTGCTGGATATGGGACAGTTAGCAAGTCTGTAACCCTGGTCATTCTTACTCTGTAGCAAAAGCCAAATAAGACCGTACTTTTATCTTAGCTGCGTCCATTTTTTTCTAATACTAAGAACATTCTGTTGTCATTCAGTTATTGTTATACTGCAGCAATGAAATCCATTAGACAGGAGTAGGGAAACATACAGTCCAATGTATCAATAAAATCAATAGAGAATACAGTGAATTCTTCTATCAATCAAACTGAAAGGAATTCAGTTGAATAAAATAAGAGTGTCAATAGGTCCACTTGTGCATGGAATGGTAAAATTTATTTCTGAGTTATATGGTTGCATGAAAGGAGAGACTGCTTATTACGCCATGTCTCTTACCAGGGTAACGGCGCTATCCCATATGTGTGCTGCTGAATGACACACTACTAAGGGAAGTCACATCCTCTATGGTCTCACTCAGACCTCCCTGAATGACAGAAGGCAGGGGACTACTTATTCTAACAATGTATCTAAATTATTTTGATAAAACCTGTCAAGTAACCGACTAACTGATATTCAATACAAAATTCAGGTTTTCAAACCAACATCGTAACACTGCAGTTAAGACTGATAGAACAAAGGACATTTATTTTTTGTAATTCAGAAAAACGACGGAATATGGATTTCCTCCAGCAGTTTGTCTTTCTTGTTCTCAACAAAGCATTTAGCTTTACTTCAATTTGCACAAAATTTTATGCACACATTATACATACATATTTGTAAACATATTCTACACACGCAGCAAGACTGCTATTTCATACGTAGGCAACACAAAACTAAAAAAGAAAAAAGTTCCAATTTCAGTCATCATTGTTTACAAAATGTGTGAAGTATTGTTGCACTATAGCACAGACATCTATATATAATCACACACAATTCCCTTTTTCTCCATCTCACAAGTGGTTAATAAAAATATCTAATATTCCTGTCTCTATCAGACTTCTCGCTCATCATCACATCTTACACGCGCCTACTGACAGTCACATGTAGAGGTCCTACTAGCTCTCCCACAGCAATTTAAAACGACTATGCCTATTTTACAGAGAATTGTAATTGCTCTTCGCTCATACTACACTGTCACCATAACCCAAGAATTTTGAGGATTTCATTATAGACTAATGGGGAGCAGATAGGAAGGGCTGCAAAAGAACACAGTGCGGCCAGCGTCTTTGAAAAGCCATGGAATGGAAAGCAGAGCAGCCAGACACATGGAATAGATTACAGTTTGGGAAAAACAAAAACACACAATAAATAGAATTGATTTCCAAGATCTAAACCAAAATTAAAGAGGAAGGAAATAACGAATGAAACTTAGAAAGAAAGAAATGGAGACACTCGAGTCACAAGAAAAATTAGATATATTCCTATATTATCTATTTGTAATCATGGGGAAAGAACAGAACAGAAAATACATCTGACATTCCCAGTCTCTATTTCTATCAGGGAATTACTGAGCATACAAGCATGTATGGTGTAACACACGTCTCATTCAATTGATAAACAGATGCACAAGTGGGCCTTTTTTTTCCTTTTCTATAAAGTGAATGAGTTGTCACAATGTACATATTTTTTAAATGCTGCATATGCATTTAATAGCAATATCGCAGTATTGCTTCCTGCTGGGCATATTTGTTATTTAATTGTTTGAATGATGCCAGATGCCATCTTTTCCCCTATAGCTCCATCTCTCAAACATCTTTATTGTGGATGATTGATTTTTGGAAAAAGACCATTTAAAAGATGTATTTTTGCAATTTAAGTACCAGGACTCTGAGTATCCCTTGAAGTGGAGAGGTTAAAGGGATTCTATAGTGTTAGGAATGCAAATCTGTATTCCTAACACTATAGAGCCCTCTGGTCCCCCCTCTCTCACACCACATAGTAGCTAAAGGGTTAAAGAAAAAAAAAAAAAAAAACACACATAAAAACCATTTAGTCACTTTCCTGATTGCAGTGCCAATGTCACATGGTGTGGGGTTGATGTTCTGCCTCCTCAGAGGGGTGCGGACTAGTGTGCATTGCTCAAGCTTTCCTACGGGGATTTTACAAACGCTGGATGTCCTCATGCAGAGCATTTGAACCAAGATCCTTGTGCTTTGCACAAATTTACCTACTAAGATTATAATCATACTTGTTGCTGTCTAAGGATAACTAAGCTAACTTACTTACAATGACTATGTCACTGTGATTACATGTATATGTTATATTATTTATTTTCCTTTTGCTCTCTCTTCTCACTGTGTGAGCTTCTTCTTGAATTTGACACCTTACCATCTATTTTTGTAAAATTGTTATGGAGGGACAAAATATTCTCTTTTTGCATTCTTTGCTACTATTGCTTAATGCATGTATAAACTGATCATTTCCCTTATTACTTTATACCCATATTCCTGTACTCAAATTCTTCCTTCTCTTGTGCGATCAGATTTCATGCTCTTCTCGCAATACATTAGTGATCAGTGTGCTGGTTCCACTTTCCCTCAGACCAGGTCCTCTGTATAAACTGGTGGTAGATCCCAATATGCTCCAAGACTTAGTTGGAGTAAGGGGACAAGTTAACATTCATCTCAATGACAAATTACCATTGTTGACAAAATGTCTTATTGTCTATTGCACAGCCAACAAAATGGATACAATCTTTGCTTTTAGACTGAATAGTATCCGCACGGAATGGATGATTAGGACTATTTGTACCAGAGAGAGAAGGAATTCGTGACCCAGCACTTGCTGACTTATGAGAAATTCTATGATGCTGTAAACAGTTTATGCATCCCGCAGATTAACACATTTCTGACTGGAAATCTTACCCCTTTCCAGAATATGCAGAGGTCAGGCAGTAGTAATTTCAAAAGAAAGCAAAGAGTCAATCGTTGCCCAATTTTATCTAACGTAACTTATCAAGTAATATGCTGAAGTTCTCTCAATGAGACTAAATCCTTCACCCCAATCTGGTTTATTCAGGAAGAAAAAACAAAACACAAAACAAAACAAAAAAATCTTGTCCAATCTTCAAGCCCTTCTTCAACAATTTAAGCAAACCTAAGGGTTTCACATAAAATCTGGCGTGCTAAACCAGAAACTTTGAGCCTTGCATCTTTTCATTGGAAAATAAATGTCCTTGCATACTTTTAGCTGAAACTTACCACATCCATTAAAGGAACACTATAGGGCCAGGAACACATATGTATTCCTGACACTTTAGATTAAAAAATACCATCTACCCCCCTTATCCTCTTAAATATAGTAAAATTCCAGTCGGCGGCTGCTGGCTCTGCCCCTGATCGACATCATCAGAAGTGATGATCCAAGCCAATCTCAAACCTTTCAAATAGGGAAGCATTGGATTGGCTGAGATTGCCATGGGGGTGCGGCAGGGAAAAAAGCCAAATGCCACCCTGGTCAATCCATATCTCCTCCTAGATATGCATTGAATCAATGCATCTCTGAGGAAAGTTCAGTGTCTCCATGCGGAGGGTGGAGACCTAGGCTGTACTGTAAACACTGCCTTTTCTCTGAAAACCCCACAGTGTTTACTGCAAAAGGCCTGCCAAAACGGACTATAACCATCAGAAAAATTACAAGAAGCTGTAGTTGTTCTGATGACTACAGTGTCCCTTTAAGGATACTCAAGAGTCTTACCTAAAATTATGGTCACTCTGTATAGAGACCTTCCCTCCCAATCTAGTACTTCTGGCTCATTGTTCTCTCTATTTTCCACCTGGTGTGGGTAAGCATGGCCTCTTTACAGGGCCGGATTAACATAGGGGCTGATGGAGCTGCAGCTCCAGGCCCAGGCCCATGGAATAGGCCCATTGATTTAAAAAAAAAAAAAAAAATTCACACACTACTCTTACGCTTTTATTTTATTGGCACAGCCAGTATTTGTGGCTGCCTGGCTGGTGATATTGGCAATACAAATGCTGGTATTTTTCTCAGTATAAACAAGAGATTACTATGCAATACCAGCACTGGCCAGTAGGGGTCGCTGTGTGTGGAGACAGGCAGGGATAGGAAGTTCCAGCATATCCCTCCCTGCCTCTCTCTACTCACTGATCTGCAGGGATGCAGCTAAAGAGAGTCCAGACAGCTTCTCCCACCCTGCAGAGACAGCCTACAGCTCAGGGAAGTAAGGGATGGGGGGAAAGCTGCAAGGAGACATGGGGACACTAAGGGACATTATGGCAGACAGTGTCCCCATGTTTCCCTGCCAGTATCCCTGGTGTCTCAGTGACCCCTAGTCTCCCAGTGTCTCACTGTCCCCATGTCTTCTAGTGCCTCCATGTCTCCCAGTGCCTCAAGTGTCTCAATGTCCCCATGTCTCCACGCTAGTGTCCCTAATGTCTGTGGCCGTGGTGTCTCAGTGTCCCCATGTCTCCCTGTGCCCCCATGTCTCAATGTCCCCCTGTCCCCCAGCCAGTGTCTCTAGTGTCTGTGTCCCCATGTCTTCAAGTGTCCCCTATTTTCCCAGTGTCCCCATGTGTCCCAGCCAGTGTCCCCTAGTTTCCCAGTGTCACTGGTGTCTCTGTGTCCCTAGATCTCCCCGTGTCCCCAGGTCTCCCCGTCTTCCTAGTGTCCTAGTGGCTCTGGAAGGGGGAAAAGGGGTAAAAACTTACCTTTTTCCAGCCCTGGGCGGGGAGCTCTCCTCCTCCGTTCCTCCCCGTCGGCTGAATGCGCACGCGCGGCAAGAGCTGAGTGCGCTTTCAGACGGTCGCATAGGAAAGCATTTGCAATGCTTTCCTATGGACGCTGGCGTGCTCTCACTGTGAAAATCACAGTAAGAAGCACGCAAGCACCTCTAGCGGCTGTCAATGAGACAGCCGCTAGAGGCTTTGGGGGAAGGCTTAACCCATTCATAAACATAGCAGTTTCTCTGAAACTGCTATGTTTATAAAAGAATGGGTTAACCCTAGCTGGACCTGGCACCCAGACCACTTCATTAAGTGGTCTGGGTGCCTAGTGTGGTCCTTTAAGAGGGATGTATGGGAACAAAACTTGTGTGGACTGGCTGACAATGAATATAGTTAAAGGGACACTATAGTCACAAGAACAACTACAGCTTATTGAATATGTTCTGGTTAGTAGAATCATTACCTTCAGGCTTTTTGCTGTAAACACTGTATTTTCAGAGAAAATGCAGTCCTTACAGTACAGCCTCGTGATAACTTCACTGGCCACTCCTTGGATGGCTGTTAGAGATCCTTTCTGGGTAATGGCTGCCTAAAATGCATCCAAACATTCAGTGTCTCCTCAATCTGCATGCAGACATTGAACTTTCCTCATAGAGATTCATTTATTCAATTCATCTCTATGAGGAGATGCTCATTGGCCAGGGCTGTGTTTGAATCATGCTGGCTCTGCTCCTGATCTGCCGTTTTGTCAGTCTCAGTCAATCCTATGGGGAAGCACTGTGATTGGATCAGGCCACCACTTCTAATGATGTCAGCACACTGCTTGTTTTTCTGAGTCAAACAGCATGCAGAGATACAGCTTCAGGCTTGAATACAGTAAGATTTGTACTATATTTATGGAGGCATGAGGGGCCCAGGGGTTGTTAGATGGTGGTGTTAACACTATAGGGTCAGGAATTCATGTTTGTGTTTCTGACCCTATAGTGATCCTTTAAGGTAATGCTGACTTTGGTCTCTCTAACACTGTGGCATGTTCCCATTCTTCTACACTCACTACATACAGCTTTTCTCTGTCCCAGACTATATACCAGGAGCGTGTGCCTGCTAGTAAGAAGGTAAGGAGACAAGTGGACCAGCGAGTGCTAGGGGACAGTCCTTTAGAAAGCGTTGAGCGAGCACATCATTAGATGCATTTATGCCTAGCTCAGGGTGCTGTCTGCATAGTATGCCCTTAGTTGGCCAGCTGCATGATTGGCAGGCAGCCTGACATGCATTCATGCCAGGCTGGCCTTCAAATTCTTTGGGCAGACATGTCCTCTTTTTGGGCATGTTTGCCCCTTTTGGCAGGTTACTTGATTTGTGTCCGTGGCACAGCCTTTTACCGTGCCCATTGACTTCCTGCTTGTCTGGACAGTGCTGTTAGGGGTTATGGATTTACTTGAAAGATGGAAACATAAGTTAGAGGGAGATTAGCATAGGGTATGTGTTTTTTCTTATAGCTGCTGTTTTCTTTCTCTCCAGCACCATCTCCATCAGATACATGACGCTTGGGAGTGTTTTAGTGTTTTTGGTCGATATGATTCTTTAATTAGGCCCGTCATAATTGTCAGCACCAGGCCCACTGGGCTGTTAATCTGGCCCTGCCTCTTTACCCTCCAACACCGCCCCTCCCCCCCCCACTGATAAATTAATACATTTTGTTTTCAAATAAACAGTAAAACCACAATAGTGTGCATAATTTAATGATTACAGAAAACAATGTACAATGTACAATGTCGAATCCATATTCTCTTTTTATAGTTTTACACATATATATTAGAAGAAGAAAAAAAAAAGATTTTAAGACCCTCCATATATGTGGAAAAATAAGACGTGGTTTCAGTACTAGTTCTAAAACGGTATAGTGGAGTAAGTAGAGAAATAAATCTGAAACACAAGCCCAGGCACACCATTGTGTAGGATCCTAAAAACTGTGCCACATGTTCATTTTTAAAACCGTATCAAATTAGAAGTTTATAGCCAAAAGGGTTTTAGTCTACTCAGACATCCTTTGGTAACTAGGTGCATGGAGGTAGAAGGGTGTGAGATAAAGGAGCTTAAAGGAACACTCTGGGCACCATAACAACTTTATCAAAATGAAGTTATGTTGCCAGGAGGCCCACTCTAAGGTGTTAAACAGAAGGACAGAAGATTAGAGAATGGTTTAACTATTAAGGTGAGCTAGCACCAGGGACCTCCTGGCTCCATAACTTAATTTTGGTGAAGTTGTTATGGTGCCCAAACTGATCCTTTCACTATTAAAGTACCATATTCTGAGTGGCTAATAGAATCACAAGTTCTCACCAGCTTCTTTCCCAGCAGCTGACATGTGCCAAAAAAAATATATAATGCAGTTACATGATGGCCGGGTCCAAAATGGAAAACGGTCAGTTTTTTTATTTTTTATAAATTCTTTATTTATGTAAATTTCAACGTTTGGTAGGTAGGTAGTAGGGTACAGAATAAAGAAAGGACATTAGGGGCAGTTATTCCATCATTAAAATTAGGCAGTAACAATAAGAGAACTATTTGTACATCTAGGGAAATATTCTGTTTAGGATAATTCCTACAGTCACATAGCGTGTTGATAGGATTGCATCTTTCTTTATGGTATAAGCACGGCAGCAGGGTGGGTATGTGTTTTCGTTGGTGTATAAGTTTAAGATTTTGGTGCCTGGGTACTAACTGAAGGTAAGGAGGTGCAAAGGAATTGTAGTTCCTCCAAAACTGCCTAGCAATGAGGGAAGGATATACCCGTCCGTGCTGATGGAGTGGTAAGAGGGTAAGAAGATAGGGGTAAGAGAACTAGTAAGCTAGAAAAGGAACAAGAGGAGAGAGTGGAAAACTCAGATCTTTAAGTGGAAATTACAGCTACATTTATTATATGATTATTTTGGGATTATTATTTTAGACAGATGATAGAGCATCTTTAACTTTTGATTTATTACATGGAAACGTATCAGCTTTTCAGGCATCTTCATTGTTATGAAACACACGTCCAGACCACCAATTACTGTGTGATGTCATAATGATAAATGTATTCACAGCTGAGCAACATAATAAACATGATAGGAACAGTTGCTTATTGCTGCCACCCAAAAGCCCAGAGAAACATGTTCATATATGTCATTCCCTAATTCGTGAAAGACAAACAGATTTGAGAAGAACACCAAGTCTACTGCTTGATGACACAACCTTTAAGGGATATTTTAAATGTATACTATCTGCATCATAGCAACTTTAGTTTAAAGCGACACTGCCACCATCTGGTGACTTTGTAGAATTTGGGGGCTGGGGTGATTGTACAGCACTGGATATGAGACCACAAAGCCAATACCCTGCAGGCGTCACTGGTGATGGTTGTCGGAAGTGAGAGATGTGACAAACTCACCTTCCCAGGAGAGTTTGCCTCAAGCTCCTGGAGGAGCCTGCTTGCCAGCCTCCTGCCCACAGACTATGGGCCCTGCAGGGAAACCTGTAAAAGACTGTTTAACTGTTTTGGTTCATGTAATTTCCCTATACCGTTCGGGAACCGAACAACCGCACGAACCAGGGACCACCCGGGAGCTTGTTAACCCCTATTAACACCTTGGAACGGTTCTCAATTCGTGTGAACAACCACGAGGTGGCGGCCATGAACGCAGTGTTTAGTCGTCGAGTTCATGGAACTAAAAAACGGACACAAACTACCGAACACCACTGGACTTCCATCATTGCCTGCGTTCGGTTCTATAGATCCTACAAGAACATTGTTCAGTGGAATCATTCATCTGGATGAGGGGAATAAGCTCCACGGTTCAAATAGAGACCATGTTCAGTATTTTATTGATTTTTTTTTTTTTTATAAATTTTTTATTTGTGAAGAATTTTGGGGTAAGGATACAGAAGAGAAATAGGGAGTAGACAGTTACAATATGAGTCATACTCTATTTGCTTTTCTAGTCCAACCTGTTTCATTTTCTTTTGGTTACCACATTCTTTCTAGGTGTTTGCGTTCTTTGCTTCTTTACCTAGTGCTTCCTTTTGTTCTGTGTGGTGGTTCGGTTGTCTACTGATTGGGGCTGGTACAGAAAAAAGGAGGGGAAGGGGGTAGGATACCCTATTGTGTTGCCTTTTTGTCGTTAAGCTAGTACAGTATCCTCTTGCTAAGTTTTGGGTCCGGTTTGTCGTGAACCTTTCGGTTATGTGAGTGTGCGTATTGGTTGTGTTTGATTGTTGGGTCGCAGCACTTCTCTGTGGTGTCTATGGGAATGGAGAGGTATGGGTCGGGGAGCATGTGTGTGGTGATTGTCTGTCTTTTCGTCTCTTACAGGCTTGTGTGTCGCTTTGGGTGGTATGTGTGTGGTCGTCTGTGGTGTCGTTTAGTCGTGTGAGTGTTGGTTTGTGTAGGGGTTTCGGTCTGGAGTGGGTTGTGATTTCTCTGAGTGTCCTGTGGGGTAGGTCGTTCGCCCCCTGCTCCCTGTGTTGGTGGGTGGGTATTTGTTCTGTTCCCTAAGTGATCTTTTCCACGTGTCCACCTTCCCTCTCTTTTGTTTTCTTGGTCCTGAGATGGGCATGCCCATTGCAGGTTCTTGTGTATTTTCAGGTGTCGGTTGTTAGTAGTTAGTCTCCCTCTGTAGGGGGTATTTGTGTGCTGTGTGTTTGCTGGGTTTGGCTGTTCTTTTAGGGAAGTGTTGTGGGGAGGCTCTATCTCTTGCGGTGAGAGCGTGTGTTACTTCACCTTGTGGGGTGTTTCCCCCGTTTGATATTTAGGGAAGGATTGGGAATTCGTAGATCCAGGGGTCCCAAATCTTGTTGAAGTGTTTGGTTGTGTCGTGAATTAGGGCGGACATTTCGTCCATTTTTATTGTGTCTTTGATTTTCCGTTTAATTGTGTCTATTGTTGGTATGTCCGGACTTCCCCATTTTTCTGCGATTGTTCTTCTCGTGGTCAGAGCAATTTTGGCAATGAGTTTGTTTTGGGCCCTTGGGGTGCCTGCCATGGGTTTGGACAGGAGCCAAATCCATGGGTCCAGTGGGATGTTTGTATGTAGGACCTGTGATACCATGGTAGCTGTTTGGCGCCATAGTTGCGCTGTGTGGGGACACTCCCACCACATGTGGAGGTACGTTCCCTTCTGTCCACAGCCCTTCCAGCATGAGTCGTTGTCTGACCTGCCCATCTGTTTGAGTTTTAGGGGGGTGAGATACCACCTCATGAGCGTCTTGTAAGCTTGTTCTTTATGGTTAACGCATATTGAGATGGTCGCTGTGGCTTCCCAAATATCGGCCCAGTCTGATGGTTCTGCCGCTGGACCTATGTCCCTCTCCCAAGCCGACACGTATGTGAGTGCTCCGTCTTTAATGTGTTGTATTATGTGTGAGTATATCTCTGATATTTGGCCTTTGCGTGCTGGTGTTTGTAGGCATTGTTTTTCGAAGTGGGTCATCGTTCTGGTCCCCCCCTGTGATATTGTCGGTGTTTCCAGGAAGCTTTTTATTTGTAAGTGGCGGAACATGTCAAAGGTGCGGAACGGGGTGGTTTGTGGAAGCTCCGTGAATAGGATTGGTTCAGTATTTTATTCATTTTTATGTTACCAAAGTTGACCGACCGCTAGCCCTGATTTCATGGAACTGTTTTGGGCAAAGGACCATGTGCGCGGTTGGTCAAATACAACTTTATCTTAAGCAGTTTTGGTGTATATAGATCATGCCTCTGAAGATTCAATGTTTAATTCTATGCCATTTAGGAGTTAAATCACTTTTGTTTCTGTTTATTCTGCCCAAGCCACACCTCCCCTGGCTGTGACTCATTGGCCTGAATGAAGACAAAATAGTTTCACTTTTAATCAGATGTAACTAACTTTAAATGTTCTTATCTCCTGCTCTTTAAATTTAACATTACCTACACACAGGAGGCTCCTGCAGTGCCTAGCAAGCTTTTAACAGAGCAAGAGATAAGGCATTCAAAATTAAACAGAATTTGCAATGAAGATAGGGTACACATTAGAGGTCTCTTTACAGGAAGTGTTTAGGAAGACTAAGTCACATACAGGAAGGTGTGACTAGGGCTGCATATTTTTTTTTTTTTTTTTTTTTAAACTTACTCCTAAATGGCAGATAATTGAGCAGTGAGCCTGCAGGAACATGATCTATGCACCAAAATGACTTGCCGTTTTGGTGACTATAGTGTCACTTTAAAACTGCACAGAGATGATTAGCATTGGTGATCTCAGAAGAAGCACTGAAGCTGCTGTGAGGAGACTATCCTGGATCTTGATATTTTACATTGACAACATAATTTACCTTTAGGATACATGATGTATTCAATAAATAATATAATTGTTTTTAAAGTTAGTGTTCCTTTAATTAAAAGCATTCACATACATTTTTAATACTAAATGCAACTGTCAAAAGTGATTTCGGTTTAATGTTTGAGTGTATGCTCCAGCCAAAAACAGAACAACCATGTGAAATTAGCAAAGATTGAATTTATATACAGAGAGAGAAGGTTCAGAGTTTACACTTCTGTTCAGCTGCATGAGAATTGTAGGTTTTCTGTAATTCGATTTGATTTACAAGGTCCTTGTGCGCTGATGGAGTATACAATCAACTTCAACAGCCGCAAGTCCTTGAGACACTGAGAGCTGCTGGCTTGCTGATGCAGCAAATATGTGTAAGATTCCAACAATAAATGAGCATTTTTTTTCAAAAGCAATTAACTGTCAACAATGAACCAGTCCTCAATGTAACATCACTGTAGACAACATGTATATATAGCCTTATTATTATATATAAGAATGCATTTTGACTTCTTTCCAGTCCATAGCACACAATATATTATCTGTAATCGCCATACAGTTTTGAACTTTTTTCTCTATGCGTTCAGAGTAACCTTCCAGTAACACCTTCAAATGCCCCATATAACTTTAATTTGCTTCACACAGTCTCCAAACATTTCTGACGATCAGTAAGCACAATTTTCCAATCAAAACCATCTCAAATATCACCAGCACACAATATTGCATTTCTTGGTTTTAAGAAATGACATACTATAAGTGCCAATTACAGAACCTTCAGGGACCAATGCTAAACCTTTGTTGGGTGTGTATAAATGCTGGCCTTCTCAGCACAAAAATATATCTGGAAGCCTATTTACTAAATAAAGAATTTCAGGGTATCCAAAGGAAATTTTAAGTGAAACATCAAGGTCATAACCAAACTGAAAACAGAATTGACATGGAGAATTTTTCTCAATCTGCTCTATGTGGTCTTACTTTTAAATTTTGTACTGAGAATTCCTTCTGGCAGTCTGCTAAAGCAGTCTAATTTCTGACTTGTGTGGAGAACAGGGCTAAAGATTGCTAGATATGGAATGGACAATGTTATTTATACTACTGTAATGGTTCTGCTTCCTGTCATTTACACTGGGAGGGAAGGAGCTACCTATAAATGTTGCCATGGCTTTGTTTAGGAACAAAAAATTACAGTATGCATGGAAATAACTTTCTATCTTAATGCAAATAACCTTTGTTCTGTTGGATTCCAATACCTGTGAAGCTTGACATGCCTGCCCCTGGTAACATTCAGGTATTTAGTAGCACTATGACAAACAATGCAAACAGGGTGGCATGCGAAGGGTTACACAGATTGTGACCACACTGAAAACATTAAAATATAATTAGAAACCAGGCAGCAAATCTGTAACAGAGGGTATATTTTATCCTCAATCACATTAGACATCCTAGTGGCTAAAGTCACATGGAACATAAGCTTTGTTTCACATGATAAATCAATTTGGTGTATAACTACAGAGGGTCACATAGCAGCCTGCTTATCATTTTTTGCCTTGTGGTGCATTAGGACACGCAACAGGGAGATGTCTGGTCTGCATGTGGAAAAATTCTTGTTATTCAGCAAGTGCTGCTGTTTTTCTAACATGCAGGGCGAGTGCATAGCAGATTAGCTGGAAGGTTGTGTGCGTGTCTGTGTCTTTGCACCGATGATGTAAGTGGGATTTCTAACACCTTTTACTGCAGATCGACGCCCACTAAGCAGGCTCTCCCAAGAGACTACACCATCTCTTCCTGCATAACCAGATGCAGAGATTCAGGTAGATAACCTACAAGTGACACCATTTATCCATTCAGCACTATTAACAACCCAGAATCTGTAGCCTTCCTTATTTGGAAGATCACCTCGATAACAATGTATCCTGCAGATAAATCTGTGTTCTACACTCCACAAAAAGAGGTGCAGCATAGAAGCAGACATGCAAAAAGTGATCTAATGAAAAAGTGCCTGATTACTGAAGGCTCTCTGGTTGCACATCCATATTTACCAATATTTTCCAAACAGCCCTGGAAAGTTGTGTGACACATAGCAATCCTAATAAAATGACGTGGTCTAGAAATATGTGATTTGGTGACTCAAACTTTCTACCTGTAATATTTCTCTCATTCCCATGCTGGCTTACCACCACTACATTTATTTATTTCCTTTTTTAAACGTTTTTTTGTAAAAAAATAAAAAAAATAAAATAAAAAATGTAAATGCCCTCCGTTTTTACCCTTCCTACCGCCACTCAACACCATGTCATTTGCAAGTGCTCTTTTCTATTTTCACTCATCCTAGACTTCCTACTTACATTAATCCAATAGATGAAAGGTAAGTAACAGGTAATACGTACATCAACAATCACAAGTAGTTTCATTTATTAAATCAAATTAAAGACACTACTCTGCTGGGTAATGAAAGCAGACACATGAATCATATTAGCTAGCTGAGTAGCTTAATTATATAAATTTTTCCCCCCCATAAATGAAACTGATTACAGCCAGTCGTGCACGCAGCTTATTTACAGGCTCTCAGAATTCATACAAGTTGTTTGCAGGTACATACTGTAAAATAATCTGTTGGGGCTTATGGCTTCTGTAAATTATTCTCTTTGCAAGTTACTGCAGTTATAATGAACATAATGAAGGAGGACTGAGAGTTCCATGCACCATAACTTACCATACTAGAACCATAGCTAATCATGGTACCTTGCGTTTTCTACCAAAGCAGTCACTGTTTTCATTGCACCACAACATATAGCAAATTTTATATCCCACTTTGTGTGTTATAATACAAACCCAAGAGTTTCTAGCATTTAAAACTTTAGCCTTTAAACATCACAGAGTTCAAACAACCATTTTTTCGTCTGGACAGTGGGTGCGGTGGCCGAGAGATGCAACTATGATGAGTTATACTTCCTGATGCTGTCCATCGCCGGTGCCACCATCTTCTTTCTTCAGCTTCTGGCATTTCATCTGCCAGGAGCCCACATCAGTGCAGTACTTTCACACATGCAGAAGAGTACAACACTAATGGCTATGGAGAGTCCCGCTATAAGCAACATAATGCCTTATTCCCGCAGCAATCGCTAGCAAAGGCGAGGGGAAGTGACAAATCTAATGTGGTAACTCTTCGTTTTCTTAAGTTTTGCCAAGAGAAGGATTTTACTGGGGTATGAGAATGACAATTCTGCTTTAATATGCATTGAAAATTTTAATCTGTCCAACTGCCATAAATTATGTTTCTAAAAAGAAGCTCCCCCACATAAAATAAGTGCCTTTTTACACACATCACAGAACACAATCTGGTAAATGTTTGACCTTATTTGATATTACAGCATACCAATATAAATAGTTGTTTATTTTGCAAAGCAGAGGGGCGGTCTTAAACTTAAAAACTAAAACAAAATGTATTTAACTTGGTATAAATGAAGACACGCATTAGAGAATGAGAGACTTAGATAAAGCTACTGCTCCCGATTGCTTAACATGGTAGTTTCCTAGCCACCAACTCATACTTGGGTATTATCTGGGCACAGGCACTGCATTGTTTCAATGAATAGTTTTAACTATGTTGACACAGACCGATAACTCCCTTCCCAAACCTACCTTGCAACTGCCACTCCCCAATAGTTAATGAGGATAAAATGGGGTACACTACACTCCTGCCAAGATCCCTCTGGCATTCTAAAGCATTAAACATACAATGACGCATAAGCAGATCTAACCTGTATTATAAGCAGTGATCAATGTGAGCTTCCTTGTATTCTAAAAACCTTGCTGCATTTAAATCATGGTTATGGCTAATTGAACTTGAGAGAGAAAAAAACAGTTGCCAGCATGTATCTCTTAATGTAGGGAGAAATTACAGATGTTGTTCCAAGATGAAAAAATTGTCTCTAATTGAGAAAGTAGTACCAATTAATACCACGGTTAAAACTTAACATTTAATGTTAATTTAGATTAAATAATAAAGAAAACAGTAATAATAATAATAATATAAAACAAGGTGTTTGGTCCCTATTGTATCAAATATAAGATACTCTTATAGCAAGGTATTTGTATCTAATTAAAGATACTATTATAGTTAGGCAACAGTGAATCTATGTGGATTATCAATAAGCAGGAAAATATGCTATTTGGACACTGTAACACATACTATATAGTCAAAGCTGAGGCAGAGGGAGAAAGGAGGTGCAAATTGACTAGCTCCTATATCGGTAGGTATCTAGTGTGCCTTCGTGGGCACCGCTTTAAAAAAGCCTGCTCTAACTCTGAAACCACCCGCTATTCTTTCAGGAAGAGAGATCAAGGTAACAAAATTATAAGTACTTAAACATCCAGTAACAGGACGTCTAAACACGGAATGAAAGTTCCGTTGCTGTGAGATAACGGCGGTGAGTATTGACACCTAGGAAATGCCAGGTAGGCGTCATGAGCCCATTTGTATGCGTTACAGTGTCCAAATAAAAGCCTATTTTACTGCTTATTGATAATTCACATAGATACACTGTTGCCTAACCATAAGAGTATCTTTAATTAGATACTCTTATAGCAAGGTATTTGTATCTTATATTTGATACAATAGGGACCAAACACCTTGTTTTATCTTACTTATTATTATTGTTTTCTTTATTATTTAATCTAAATTAACATTAAAAGTTAAGTATTAGCCTTGGTATTAATTTCTCAATTAGAGATAATTTTTTTCATCGTGGAACTATATCTGTAGTTTTTCCCTACATTAAGAGATACATGCTGGTAACTTTTGGTTTCTGTTTTTTGTTGTTTTTCTCCCAAATTCAATTAACAGTTTAGGGTTTATCACCAGTTTTTTTTCCACTGATACCACCATTGTATCTCTTCTTTACCCTACAGGCTCCTCTCTCTTATTTATGGATATGTCTAACTTCGAAACTACAAGTTTTCATCTATCAATTAGAGTCACTTTGAAAGTATGGCTAACTAGAAATAAAAAAAAATGTTCTCATTAGGGATCGACCGATATTGATTTTTTCTTTTAGAGCAGATACCGATAATCTGTGAACTTTCAGGTTGATAGCCGATAACTATTTCTAAAGGTAAATGCACAAAATATACATGCCACATGTAGTGGATGCAGTATGTTTAGACAGGGGAGCTGCGTGTGTTTGTGTAGTGGATGCAGTGTTAATATAATGAATGCAGGGTGTATATAGTGAATGCAGTGAGTTTGTGTAGTGTGTGTATATATACACTGAATGCTGAGTGTGTATATTAAATGTAGTGTGTGGTGGGTGTGTAGTGTGCGTATAGTGAATGCAGTGTGTGTGTAGTCTGTGTATATAATGAATGCAGTGTGTGTGTGTTTGTGTAGTGTGTGTGTATATAATGCAGAGTGTGTGTGTTTCTGAAGGGATGTAATTTGTGTAAAATGGGGGGAGGGGGGAGAATTTTTTATTTTAATTAAATTTTTAATATTTATATATGTTTGATTTAGATTTTTTTTTGTCCCCCTTCCCTGCTTGTTACCTGGCCAGGGAGGGGGGCTATGTCATTCCCTGGTGGTCCAGTGGCATGTACTGAGCAATGGGGGCCCTGCAGCAAGCTGTTACTTACCTTTCCAGCAGCTCCCTTTAGCTCCCTGTGTAAATCTTAAGGACTGCATGTTGCGCACAGCGTTGCCATGGTAACCCTAATGGTAACACTGACGGCCGTGGGACTCGCAAGATTTACACCGGGAGCTGCAGGAAAGGTAAGTAACAGCTTGCTGCTGCCCCTGGTCAGAAAAGTAAAAGGTGATTTTACTCACCTTTGTTCCAATGCCGTGCGAGTTTCCTTGTGACTAGTCCACCCCTGCTTCACCTCTTTCACTGACCTCAAACTAGAAGATCTTAAACAATCCAATGTGAGGTTATCGCACATACGCAGGAAAACGCCGCTCTGCGCCAATCATTATCTCTTCATAGATATGTTTTAAATCAATGCCTCTCTACGAGGAACGTTCATTGCCTCCATGTAGGGCGTCGAGTCGCTCAATGTCAGTGCTGCCTTAGGTAGTAAAATGCCTGCATTAAAGGATCACTATAGGGTCAGGAACTCAAACATGTATTCCTGACCCCAGAAGTGCTAAACCCACCATTTAGGAGGCTTGCCCCCCTATAAAAGTTTAAAACTCACCTTATTTCCAGCGTTGCGCAGGTCTGCTGGTGCTGGCTCCGCCCCGTTGTGACATCATCAAAATGGCAGATTTTTACCCACAGGGAAAGCATTGAATTGGCAAAATTGGCACAAGGGCGGGGCAAAATGCTGTTTTGGCCAATCGGCACCTTGACTCAATGCGTCTCTATGAGGAAAATTCAGCATCTCCATGCAGAGCGTGGGGGCGCTGAACGGCAGGGCTGCTTACTGTGCAACCCTGAGCCAGGAAGCACCTCCAGTGGCCATCTAAGGAGTGGCCTCTTGGAGGTGTCCCTAGGGGCAGTGTTCGGTCTGGTCGATATTCTGTATTTTCTGCAATATCAGTATCGGCCAATAAAGATACTGATATTGCAGACCAGGGCCGCCATCAGGGTCCTGGGGGGCCCAGCACACTCTTACCTTCCCAGCAGCTCCCTTGTCTAACTCTCGTTATTCCCGCGGCAGTCAGAGCATTGCCACGGGTTACAATGGTGGCACACAGGCCATTAAAGTTAGACAGGGAAGCTGCTGGGAAGAGAAGTAAGAGTGTGCTGGGCCCCCCCAGGAACGCTGCGGGCCCCCCAGGGAACGCAATATTCCCCTTCCCTGGCCAGGTAAGACACAGGGAAGGGGGACTAAAACTAAATGTAACAAAAGTTAAAACTTAAATATATATATATAAAAAAAAAAAAGTTTAAAAAATAAAAATGCCCCCCCCCATCCTACAAACATTACATACCTACACATAAACACACACAAACTCTGCATTCATTATATACACACACTACACAAACACACATTGCATTCACTTAACGTACATTACACAAACACTGCACCCACTACACAAACCCACCCACTGCATTCACTAATCAAATACTTTCTCTGCATCCACTATACACACATATATTCTTGAAAACATAAATTCTGACTGGCATGTATATTTTGTGCATTTTTACCTTATTTACCTTAATAATAAAAAAAAAAAATAGCAAAAAATTAAATAATAAACATGTTCGGTTAACAGTAGATTTGTGTTGAAATTGTTTTTTTAAATGGTAAATGTACAGAATGGCGGTAAGTTATCAGCTATCGGCCTGAAAGTTCACATATCCGTATCGGCTCTATTAAAAAAAAAAAAATCAATATTGGTCGATCCCCACTCGGTAACATTGGAAAACCCGGTAAAACCTGAACATGGGGGAACCGTAGCACTCATGAGACATTGCAGAATACAAATATGTGTATTTTATTGCAGTACATTCCAACAGTATGATGACATTCACAGTTAAAATGCCATGCAGAACTTGAAAAATAAAAAAAACTTCTTACATTTCTCAATTTTTTTTAGATTTTATTAATATTAAATTAATGTTTCATATTTGATGTGAATTGAAAGCTCAGTTTCTCCTGAACAAAATGATATATAACATGCGTGGGAGCACTTAATGTGAAAGAGGTAAATTATGGTTTAACAGACATATAGCGCAAATTCTAGGTTTTGTTTTTATTTGAAAGTGTACAATTGTCTCCGTCCTTAAGGGGTTAAACTAAAATTGTCTTGGTGACCATAGTGTAACACAATGCCAGCAAAGATGCATCAAAACAATACCTTCAGCCTTATTCTGGGTGAGAGGCAACAGCAGTTATCTGCAAGGCATCCAAATAGAGCTGCACATGTGCAGACTTGCTCATAGGTCTGCTGCAGCGTGTCAGAAAGTCTCAGCACCTTCTGTTAGCATAACTCCATCCCATCCAGATTGGAAGGCACCATGACACTGCTCCTGCAGTCAAGTCAGATGTCACCATGTGACCATGTGTGTTGATATACACCACATTACCGATACTAATAGATTCCAACTGCCATTACTGTACACTCATCACAATTAAAATATTTCTTAAAAATATGAACATCTAGCTATACTAAATTCTATTAACTGCAGGCCGCAACCCATAAATACATCAGAACTAGGCCCAGCCTACATGCAAGTGAGGGGAGTAGAAATGCATCAAAAATATCCCCTGCATGCAACATGGCAAGGAAACCGTGTGTTCCCAAATATGCAGATTATTAAAACAATATGGGAACACAGTACATTGTAGAGTAATGAGTACAAAAGGAGAGGACCCTGTCTGAGGACTGAGATCTAGCATTTATAGCCCTTATATACAAATTACTAAGCTGGACAGCATGTGCGCTTACAATCAAAAGGTTATGATGTGAAACGGAGATAAGAGTGAGAAAGAAATCTGGGAAATTTAAAGCGGCACTGTCAGCGCCTGGGTGGCAGACGGGGGGTAACAGTCAAAGGTAGGTAAGGCAGGAGGAGCACTAATAACTATGGACACTAGAGGGGGCTGAGAGTCAGTGAAGGTGGATTTTGTCTGACTGCTGAACTGAGCAATATAGTGTGTATTAACAATCAGATGCTGTTCTTTTGGCTAGTAATGGGTGACTAGTTGAACATTTTTTGACTCATGGTACATTTGCATTCTTCATTCTGCACTACTTCAATATGACTATCTTAATATGACTAATGCTATAGAACTTTATTTTTATTGAAGATTGCAGGAAGTTCCAAACTTCTCAACATTTTGTGCAGTCTACAACTGTAGGTAAACTACACAAATGGCATGGTATATATCCACTGGGTGGATTACAGACCAGGAGAAATGTACTTTCCATAGTAGTCTGAGATACAGACCATGCAATTATCCTACAAGTGGAGCTGTCATATGTTGGTGACAATGTCACATTCAGATAAACATACACACTTAATCTATACAAAGTATATATTATACATTGCTTACTCTAGTTTACCATTTTTGCTGCAGGGCAGGCACACACATGGTTATTAGTAGTGATGCAGATAAAGGCCATGTTTGGAATAATTAGCTAACTTTATTTATAAATGTGGTTGTTATGTAATATACATACAAAAAAAAAAAAACAACAACCACAGTTTCCATTTGATTACAGTTCCACTTAATACAAGACAGCATTAGGAGCCTGTTATCTGCAAAAGTCTTGTCTAAAACATGTCTGAAGGGGAGTGGGATCTGCAGGGCTGTTCTTTGCATGACTGTGCATGTTTATATTGGCATACTTTTACAAATGCCATAGCAGTGCAAAACTGACTAACAATGGATTGTCTCTGAGGCATGATTCACAGTGTGATTCCAAAGAACACTATTCAAAAAGGCAACATAAGGATAATTTACCCAAATGCCAGTTAGCTACACTATTACCTGAAATTGTAGCAAATTTTTCTTTTTTTTTTTATAAATCATTAGCTATGCTCGTAAAGGGACACTATAATCACCAGAAAGAATACAGCTTATTGTAGTTGTTCATGTGAGTATAAATTAGACACTGCAGGCATTTTAAAGTAAACACTGCCTTTACAGAGAAAAGGCGGTGTTTACATTACTGCCCAGGAACACCTCCAGTGGCCACTCCGGAGACGGCCACAGGAGGTGCTTCCTGGGGCAGTGCTGCACAGAGATGCTCAACCCTCTCCATAGAGATGCATTGACTACAGTGGCGTTAGGGCCCGCTCCCACCTGACCTCCTCATAGCAATTGACAATCTCAGCAAATCCAATGCTTTCCTATGGGATCAGGGGCAGGGTGGCACTGGATATAAGGTACTATTTTTTATTATTTAAGGGGGGCAGGGACCTTGCATGTGTTAACACTATAGGGTCAGGCATACAGGTTTGTGTTCCTGACCCTATAGTGTTCCCTAAGTTTGAGAAAAGGAATTCCAAAAATGAGATTCCTCATGCATTTAGTCACAAAAAGGGCTCACTAAGTATACTCAACATAGATTTAGAAGTGACTGCTATTGGAGAGCTACTCTGGCCCTATAAAGAGACTGGCTCTACATGACAAATAATAAAACATTTGGGTGTGGAGCAGAATTTGAAAGAGGTTTCTTCTTTTCTCACAAGGAATAGCTTACCTTCAACAGGGGAGGTCTTGAGTCTGCGACATATGTTAGGAACCCCACCATATGTGTCATTTATCCTGGTGACTGCCTCCCCACTCCGCAGTTCCATGAGGAGACGCAAATCTGCCACACTGCAGCCAAAGTCCCCCTCATAGCTGCCCTCATTCACAGAGTTGGCGGGGTGATGATCTGTAGAATTGTTAGCCATTTTATTGTTTTTATATATATATATGGATTTAACCAAGAAGTTTATGTATTTCCTTTTTGAAATTCTTTTTTGATTGTTAAGAAGTATCTATTTCTCAAATGGAGTGCCGGCTCTACGCCATTCTCTTCACAGACACCTCCCGTGAATGTGCCGGGGTCAACAGAGAAAACAGGACGTTCATGTTACCAGGAGCAACACTGGCAACAGCCGCCAATCACTTTGGTGCCGGGGAGGACCTAGAATACAGACAGAAGGAGCTGAAATAAAAAGCATACAGAAAGAGGAGGGTGTCAATTTATAAGTTACAATGCAATAACATTAAATACAATAAAAAAAGCAAATTTCATATACTGTCACATTGAACAATGTACAGGGGAAATCCAGCTCCCAAGAAAGAAAAAGATAAATAAATACAAATATGATGTCAAACATATATTTGTATAGACAGGCAGGATATAGACACAAAGGTAAATAAGGCAACCAGGATATGAAGCTATACCTTACTGGTTTTAAAAGACATGTATCAGCATATAAGGCATTCATTACGAGCCACGTGAAAGGTGATAGGATGAGCAAACAGACTGCACATAAAATATACAACTTTCACCAGCTGTTACTGTGATTGCAGAGTATGTACCTATCTTTAGAATTGACAAGCACAGCACATATGTAATGTTCCGTCTTTCTCGCTGTCTAATAGTGTATATTCTACATTGTAGGGGCATTTGTTGAACACCACAAAAATTAAAAATAAAATCAGAACACAGTAGGATTTCAAAAGATCATAATATAAGTGTTAAAAAAAAAAAAACACAGACAATTGAAAATGAAAAAAACAAAAAAAACCTGATCCAAGTAATTATTATTAATGCCATTTGATGCCCAGCAAAACAAATTAACCAAATTCATACTTCCAATAGTAATGAGGAAAAAAAATGGAGCTCAGCTTTCATGCACTTATATTTTTAGTAAAAATATATACAATTGACAAGTTTGTTAAGCGGCAATTTAGTGAGGATATAAAAAGGATGCATGACTGTGATAGTATACATTTAGGCAAACTCACCCATTTTTCTAAAATATGAGAAGCCAAAAACAATTTTGACACAAATTCACATTATGTACATGGCATTAGTTTATCGTCTCATTCAATGAGATAATTAGGTTAGAAGCCAAGTTTTCAAGTGTAATTTAATTATCAATAGGATACATATTGCAAAACACTAGACCAGGGCTGCGCAACCTATGGCAAATGTGCAATGCATGACACTCAAAGTGCCTTTGCACGACACTCAATACTGCCAGAGCCAAACAGGCTCTGGTTTACCAGGAGTCCCAGTGGGATTTCAGATATTTGCTACTGCAACCCAAGTGGTGAGGGACAATCCTCAATTCACATATTGCAGCACATAGAGGTAGTGATCACTTCCTCCCAGTACTTGTGAACGGGAATCCACACTGGAGTAGAGCAGCCTGCAGCATCTTCCGCAGCTCCTGCCCTTGACCTGTACCTGGTCCCCACTGGATCTCAAGGAAGACACCCACACTGCTAGATATACACATAGCTCTACAAGAAGCCTTTTTTCATGCAGAGAATACAGACAGCTCACACACAAATACGCACACAGTCCCCAAAAACAACAGCACCGACAATCCAGATACCCGCACACAACAAGCAGCCCCCGTACACTTCCCACATTCAATGAGTATCATACATACAACCACAAACTACTTATGAGCATTTACAATATAACAGCCCACATACGTACAAACACAACGTTACAAAGCAACTTCAGCATCCATAAATAACACAATCACAATACGGCAACATGGACACCTCCTTTAAAAAAAAAAAAATAGGACTGGCACGCCAAGAGACTTCAAGATCTTGTTTTGGCATAGTACTACTAAAAGGTTGCCTACCCCTGCAATAGATCATGCCCAGCATCAAATAGGCCTGCACTGCACTTGGGAAAGCAGGCCTGCTACAGTAAACCAGTTACTGTGGGCAATTGCCTAATACTTGATGAATATCATGTACCCGTTTCTAATAATGGACACCCACTAAAATGACTTGAGAACAAATTCTTTGTCCGGATCCAGGGGTTAAGAGCCACACTGGTCTAAGAGAAATTGATTTCCTGGCTTCAGATACAATGATTGGAGGTCGATCAGATTTGTGGAAAAAACTTTGTTTCGTTTAACGCACACATTTACATACACACACATTATAATAATTTTTTTTTTTTTTTTTTAAGTGTTCTGTGTCCCTTTATTATAGTAAAAGTGTGGCTTGTGCAAGGAGTGGGGTAAAAAAAAAAAAAAAAATCCTACCTCTTTTCCCAACCCTTCCAATATCCATTCTATGTTCAAAGAGGTTGATGTTGGGAAATACTATTCCCATGATTTTCTCAAGACAAATAAGTCAATGGGACCTGATGGAATACACCCAAAGCTATTAAAAGAGCTTAGTGGTGTACTAGCAAAACCATTAACAGATTTATTTAACCAATCATTGTTAACAGGAGTAGTCCCAGAAGATTGGAAGTTAGCGAATGTTGTGCCCATTTACAAGAAAGGTAATAGGGAGGAGTCGGGCAACTATAGGCCAGTAAGCCTTACTTCAGTAGTGGGGAAAGTGATGGAAACCATGTTAAAGGATAGGATTGATGAACATCTAAAAACACATGGATTTCAAGATCAGAGACAACATGGGTTTACTTCAGGGAGATCATGCCAAACTAATCTTATTGATTTTTTTGATTGGGTAACTAAAATTATAGATCAGGGTGGTGCAGTAGTTGCTTACCTAGATTTCAGTAAGGCTTTTGACACTGTTGCACATAGAAGGCTTATCAATAAACTGCAATCTTTAAGTTTGGATTCAAATATTGTTGAATGGGTAAGGCAGTGGCTGAGTGACAGGCAACAGAGGGTTGTAGTTAATGGAATATATTCGAAGCTTGGACTTGTCACCAGTGGGGTACCTCAGGGATCTGTACTTGGACCCATTCTCTTTAATATTTTTATTAGTGATATTGCAGAAGGTCTTGATGGTAAGGTATGTCTTTTTGCTGATGATACTAAGATATGTAACAGGGTTGATGTTCCAGGAGGGATAAGCCAAATGGCAAATAATTTAGGTAAACTAGAAAAATGGTCAGAATTGTGGCAACTGACATTTAATGTGGATAAGTGCAAGATAATGCATCTTGGACGTAAAAACCCAAGGGTAGAGTACAGAATATTTGATAGAGTCCTAACCTCAACATATGAGGAAAGGGATTTAGGGGTGATTATTTCTGATGACTTAAAGGTAGGCAGACAATGTAATAGAGCAGCAGGAAATGCTAGCAGAATGCTTGGTTGTATAGGGAGAGGTATTAGCAGTAGAAAGAGGGAAGTGATCATGCCATTGTACAGAACACTGGTGAGACCTCACTTGGAGTATTGTACTCCGTACTGGAGACCAAATCTTCAGAAGGATATTGATACCTTAGAGAGGGTTCAGAGAAGGGCTACTAAACTGGTTCATGGATTGCGGGATAAAACTTACCAGGAAAGGTTAAAGGATCTTAACATGTATAGCTTGGAGGAAAGACGAGACAGGGGGGATATGATAGAAACATTTAAATATATAAAGGGAATCAACACAGTAAAGGAGGAGACTAGATTTAAAAGAAGAAAAACTACCACAACAAGAGGACATAGTCTTAAATTAGAGGGACAAAGGTTTAAAAATAATATCAGGAAGTATTACTTTACTGAGAGGGTAGTGGATGCATGGAATAGCCTTCCAGCTGAAGTGGTAGAGGTTAACACAGTAAAGGAGTTTAAGATTTCGTGGGATAGGCATAAGGCTATCCTAACTATAAGATAAGACTAGGGAGTAATGAAAGTATTTAGAAAATTGGGCAGACTAGATGGGCCGAATGGTTCTTATCTGCCGTCACATTCTATGTTTCTATGCTCATTATTTAGCATGTTGCCTTTATAAATCTCCTCAATAGTGAGGTTGTGAAACATTTAGAATTTTTCTTTGGTTTTTACTGTATGTATTTAAGCTGATGTGTACTATGGTCGTTGCTACTGCCCAGGAGTAATGGGAGTTTGAGCGCAGGACTTATTTTTTTGTATTTATATTTAGAATATTGTTTAAACTGGCACTATTGCATTTGACCATTTAAGAATAATTCTTTAAAAAAGCTCTTGCTGACAATGTTGGAATTTTTTCTACAATGTGCCAACAGAAGTTGCATCCACCTCTACATCCTGCCATATCCCTTCAGCTATCGCTTGTGAACAGGCATCACCTTGCACATAGTTGCCTATGGCACATTAATGTGTAAGCGCAAAATTATTTAAGGTTCATCCTTTGATCTCACATGTTCTTCAAGAAACTCAATTTCTTACTCTTGCATATACGCGAGAGTATATAGTTGACAAGGCTCCTGGTAGGTGAAGCCACCAGAAGCTGAAAAAGCAAGGCGGCTGAAAGATGGTGGCAATCCTACAGAGAACTTCTGGTTCACATCAAATGCACACATCACCTCGGGGACAGGAGCTCTTTTTGTATTTTTGCAAAGACCTCAAACATGGCAGTGCCTCTTTAATAATATAGGTTTGCCTGTTTAAAAAGACAGCTATTTGTGAACACAACTATAACAGTATACATGTTATGGATGCTTAGACTCCTCAACCCCCAAACAAAGACTGATATAAAATGCTAACATATCAGAATGCATAAATAAATACACTCCAGCACGCTTACCATCACAAAAATATACTCTTTCATTCCTTCTTACATCCACATACGAACATTAGGGCAACATTCATCCTCTCAGTTAACTACAGCTATTACTTGCTGCCTTTTAACTCCAAATATCTGATTCTGTCACACATTCAGTGCATTTTGCAGCTTGCCAGAAGCATTCACAATAGCTTCTTTCTGTTCTACATCATCTAAAAACAATCATACAGAATAAGCCATCCATCAGAAATTGGTGAGCTGTGGCTCAGGAGTGTATCTCCCACTAATCGTAGGCAGCCAAAAACATTGTTTTTTGTTTTCTTATGCTATCCTGAGATTAGGACGCCTGAACTGCATGATGTCTGTCATGTCAACCCTCATCATGGAAGAAGTATCCTTTACATAGCGCTCTCTCATATGTATGTGTACATATTTAACAAAGTCATTTATTGAAATATTAAGATAAGGAAGAATTTTAATCCAATCTAATATGAGTCATGGTAGTATCTATGTTATTCCCAGCATAAGAGAAAGAGTTAGTCTCCTGGGATTTTAATGTGGCCACCATCCTGACTGTTTAGAGACTGGAAAACTAGGCAATATCCAGTGCTTCGGTGAATGGAACACATTTGTTAATAAAAGGGGTTGTAGGAAGATGGCCAGGTTAGTTTAAAGCGAAATGTCCACAAGTAAGTAACCGTTCTTTCCCAAGGAAGGTGTCTTGTGGGGCAAGGGCTGGAAAGGTGACAGGGAAAACAGATTAACACCTTAGCGCTATTTTAGCACAGTTTAAATCTTGTATGGGCTAACGATGCCCCACTGATGCTGCTGGAGGTGGGGTTAATTTCCGCATGTGCAATGTTTCATTTTGAATGACTCCAGGCACCTCTAAAAGGCTTTTATAAGTCCTCATTCAAGTCATAATAAGGGCCCTGTCTCATAATCAGCTTGTGAGTTTCATGTTTGAAAATTAACTTTTTCCAGCAATTCATAGTTTAGCAAATAATCCCATGTCTGTTTACTTATTGAAGCACCTCTAGCATGGTACAGTTAGAATGAAGGACATCTAGGGGTTTACTCGCTGAAGTGAGAATTGTCAGGAATTTAATGTGAATTTCAAATTTAAAGCCTTTTTCCAGATGTTTAGATGGAGGATTGTTTCCAGTTTAGCCCCTTTGGCCTTAAATGTCAATTTCACTTTACATTTTTGACAATCCTAACTTTAGTGAATAACCCGGTTGGGTCTTGAATAATGGAGTACGACGGTCAAAATTCTAAAAACAAAATAATGCTAGCATAATGAGCAACATTTAAAACAAATAAACACTTCTGGGAACAATTTAGTTTTTATGGTAAGATACCTAATAAAAGGGGCAGTGGTAGAATGCATAAATCACTTTCAGATGTGTAATTTTTCACATATGTGAATGTACAAGGACTGGCATAAATCAGCATATATATTTTGCCTCCCTCAAAAAATGTTCTGTTTACAAGACCTTTCATATTAATAATATATTCTTGATTTTGTTACAAGCTTTAAAAAAAAACAAGAAGTAAAAAAATTAAAATATATATGACATCACTCCATTCTGAGGCTCACAACGAAGACAACGTGACTGAGTCATAGGGGGAAGGCCTGATCATTTTAAATCAAGCACAAACAATAGGGTAGGAAAAGGATGGGAAGAAAAAGGGTTTGGGGTGGCTGTTAGACGAAACCCACAGCATAGTAGCACTATAACAAATTATATAATAAGACAGATAATAAATGATAGAGTGGCAAACCCTGGATCGAATAAGATAAAGGGGGAGCCGCAGTATCTAAACTCTAAATGTAGAAAGATCGCCTAAACTGTGCTCTCAGATAGATAGGGCATTAACCCTTAATTATACCAATTGAAAATAAAGACTCAATAGGTACCCCAGGGGACAAAGCTGAGAAGGAGCACAGTAATGAGGAATGAATATATATATATATATATATATGGAAAAAGTAACAGGGAAGCCAAAAACCCTACCTTTATTATAACCTAATCAAAAACTTTAAAAACAGATAAATAGATTATCCACTAGGGGAGAAGGATAAGTACCAGAATACAATGTTCTATGGGTACAGGAAGAAATGGGATATAATCCCATATAAACTCCTCTTAGTAAGAGACCGGTTCTGTGGGATAGAACTTGGGGCTGAGGTTAAGATGAAGTGACCCGGAAATATAAGGTGATATAGCTGTATCTGTGGCCGCTATAAATGCGGTAGGTACAAATAGTCAGCCATAAGATTGACACCCAGGTGCAAGGGTAGAAGATCAAGGTCCCAAATTATATAGTCACTGATTTTACTATAGATCAGGGATGGCCAGAACTTAAATCCCAGTCAGTTGGCTGATAAAGCATCAATGGAGTTGCAGTTCTCGAACAGCAGGTGGTCTGCTATTTTCATACCTGCTTTGAAGCATAAACTATCGAGGCTATCTGTAAATACTGCATAAAGACAATGTATAAACCTCCTAGAACTGCTACAATTTAAAACAGATGACCGTTTTTGAAACACAAAGAGAATTGATGAATTTCAGTATAATAAATAAATATTTCCCAAGGGAGAACTGCAGATAACATACTGACACAACTTGACTCGACAAAACACCTGTACAATCTATTTCACCTTTTTATACTGTGGGATTTAACCCCTTAAGGACCAAACTTCTGGAATAAAAGGGAATCATGACATGTCACACATGTCATGTGTCCTTAAGGGGTTAAAGCCTTATTGAACTGCCTTCACTCAAAGCATTGTATTTTAGTAATAAAATGCCTCATACAGCAGAGCTCTATGCAAGCACTTTTTTTGGTCATTTGTGCTAAAGAGGATATACGTTAATACTAAAGTTAGGTTATGCTGCCAATATAATTCAGAGGCTAATTCTGAAGAGTAATCAAACACATCAATGCCAGAGAATTAAAAAAATGTATAGGCACCCACACAACTTCATCTTATTGGTTAAATTAAATAAAAATAAACCCCCCCCACAAAATTGGTGATTTTTTTGACACACATAGCAATTTAAGAATACATGTACTGAGAACTTTAAGGGTTACTGCCAAAGAACACCCCAAGATGTGTTCAGCAACATCTCCCGAGTACAGTGATACCACCCATGTATAGGTGTGTCGGGTTTTCTGGAGCTTTTGAGACTTATTTTCACAGCTAGTCACCATGTCCTATTTGGGACATTTTTTAAGCCGGACAGTTGTAATTTACCCCCATCAAACCATATATTTTTGAAAAGTAGACACCCTAAGGTATTTCAAATGGTGGTATTTTAACACTTTCCATGCACTAATTCTACCACCAGTCTTTGTCAGGTTTTATGGTGTTATGGAAAGTTACAGGGTCAATATAAGGCTTGCCCAATTCAGTTTGCCAGATTGGTTTGCTTGGTCTGTGTTGCCTTTTGAGACCATACGGTAGCCCAGGAATGTGAAATAACCTACATACATGTACACACACACATAATACATGTGATGACTTGCATTGTGGGAATACAAGTTGCGGCAGCCATCTTGGATAAGGGCAATTGCCAGAAAGTACCTAAAATGAAGGGAAAATTACAGTAAACATCCCAAACATATTTGGTAAGGATTTGCAGGGTCTCCAGACACGGGTAAGTGCTGTTTTCAGCCAGTTTTAAATCTGTTTCACTGGTTTCTTGGTAATAGAATTTGACAGTGCACTTTTTTACTTCAGTACTTTGCCACAAGTAATATTTATTTTTTATTTATTGTTTATTTGATGTCCGAATCTACACCATGTTCTGATTGTGATGGGAATGCAGTGGAAGGTTATGCATTGACTATCTTCAGAAAGTAACCTCTTCAGCCTCACCTTTACCTACTCAGCCACAGGACATGTTGGCATAGCTTACAAATGAAGTTGCAAGGTACTGTCTGAATCTACACAATGTTCTGGTTATGATGGTTATGATGGGAAAGCAGTGGAAGGAAAAAAGTAATGCACTGACTGTTTCCAGAAGGTAGCCGCTTCAGCATAACCTATGCCTGCGCAGCCACATGACATGCGGGCATGGCTTACAAGGAAGTTCCAAGGTATTTTAGAGGCCTTAGGGGGAAAGAAAAAGAGGAGGAAGGTATTTCCAATCCCTGAACTACACTACATAAGGTGCAAGCCTATGGATCAAATGTGGATGCAGACCGATCATCCAGCTGTAGCTCTTCACTGCTGTTTCTACAACCATGAAAAGTGTTAAAGATCTAAAGGCTACTATGAAGAGAGCCATTAAGAGTCAAGATTGAAGATGCAGTCTGAAGTCTTCAGGTTACAACTGACTTCTTCACAGAAACTTATGACTAGATGTAACTAGGATATTCTCTTAAACAAATGGCTTTATCTATAGCAGCTAGGAAAGCATTATGGGTCTGATTCTTTGAGGATGACTCATCCTCCAAGTCTGCCCTCTACACCATTCTATTTGAAGAGGAGGTGCTGTTTGGGAAAGCTTTGGATGAATCCATTAAACAGGCGATTGAGGGTTGCAAGGTATTTTGTACCTCAGGACTGAAGTTCCAAGTATGCCAGCTCCTCATGATCAGACAGGAGAACCTCCAGTGACCAGCATATCTGAGATACATGGAGTTACTGACACTGCAGGGAATACTTGGGTGGTATCCATAGTCCAGACTGATATAGACTGGAGTTTTTTCTTCAGACACAGGAGTCTATATACCAACAAGATAATTCAGACAGATGAATTAAAAGGAATAGCACTGAAGGAATATGTAAGAAGCCTTCTGGACGAAGAGGTGATTTCTTAGGTGCCATAACAAGAGCGGTTCCAGGGACAATATTTGCCTCTCTTCTGGTGCTAAAAGAAAAGGCACATGGAAGCCTATACTGGATCTAGGAAGGGCCAACAAAAGGCTGAATGTCAGAGTCTTCGGGATGGAGTCAATCTGATCCATATCTCAAGCAATTTGGAAGGATATTTTCCTTATCTCTATACATCTCAAGGATGCTTACCATCACATTCCAATAGCCCTAGATCTTCAGCATTATCTCAATTTAGTGCCCTACCATTTGGCCTCACTGCAGCCCCAAGAACCTTATATGTGCTTATAGTGATATTAAGAGTCCAGAACACCACCTGGTTCCATTATCTGGATTATCTACTTCTGGCAGCCTCAGACCCACAGAAGGCAGGCACACAGACGAATATAGCTCTTTCAGAACTCCTGAAGTTTGACTGCTTGATGAATATCATGAAAAGTAGTTTCACACCAGCTCAGAGGTTGACATTTGTGGTTGGAAAATTCTATGCTCTGCTTTTTCCCTATCTCAGGAACAGTTTCACATATTGTGGAAGTCTTGTCTTCCAGTTTCGTCATTTTTGCTTGATAAAAGCAAGAAAGTATATGCAACTACCAAGAATCCTGGCTTCCACCATCAGACTTGTCAGATGGGCCCAATGGCATCTCTGGATTCCTCAAAGGTCCTTCCTATCTCGGTTTAACAAGAGAAAGATTAATTGGAGGCAGCCATTGTCACCAGTCGCGTTACACTATACATGGTAGCTGAAAAGAGAGAAAATATCTCTGGGTTTCCAATGAACAGAACCTCATTGGTCAATTATAAAACTTGGATTCCAGTTTTCAAAGATTGGTTCCACAGTGTTTAGACCATGTTGCACAATATTACCATTCAATTGTATGGAATTACAAGTCATTTTCAGGGCTCTTATTCACTTCAGAGGGTTGCTGAAGAACAAGTGGGTCCAAATTTGCTCAAATATCAATGTGACTGTATCCTATATCAATCAAGGTGGGTCTCACAGCTATGTATTGATGAGGGAATTACAGCTCATGATGATCAGGGCACAGAAGAACAACCAGGGGCTCAGAATACAATAGCTGATTACCTAAGCCGAATAACTGTGGACAAGGTGGAATGGCAACTATGTCCCAATGTATCCTCAGGGTTGACTCAGATTTGACTGATAATCTACGTAGACCTGATGGCCATTTCTCGGAACTACCAGGTCCAGAAATATTTTTCTAGATTTTAAGACCAGAATGCTCAAAGTCAGGATACGTTGACTCAGATTTGGAATTTTAGTCTGATGTACATATTTTTCCGGTTTACAACTTTCCTAAGGTAATTCAAAAGGAGACAGTTCAAGGCCACGTCGACTCTAAATTCCTATGATGAGTAAGATGAATCTGGAACCTCCAAGGGAAATTCCAGTACATCCAGAGATATTACAAGGTCCCTTGTAATACAAGGTCCCTATGTAAGATCCTCAAGTTCTGGTGTTGATGCGGGAGTCTCTATAAGTATAGGCATCCCTGAGTCCAGGTAAGTCCAGGGCTCCTTTTTGCTGTGGACGTACTAAGTATGTCCACGGTCCTTAACGACCTTTTTTGTCGGAGGTACCTAGTATGTCCGCGTTTGTTAAGGGAATATGTATTTAGAACGTAATTCTAAATGTATTTTGAGATATATATATTTTAATATCAACAAATTTAAACCAGTATATCATTTTATTTACATTTAATTTTATTTATTGATACATGTATATACATACATACACACACACACACACACACACACTACTACTACTCCTCCTCCTCCATAGGTCTTGCACTCCTGCTCCTTAATGTTCTCTGCCCGGTGCTCGGCTGCACAGATAATACCCTCAAAACAATGTCAGCACTCGAGGACTTGGAAAATAATGTACGGTTTATTCCAACGATAAACTCTGCTTACAATCCGGTGGTCGGTCAACGTTTCAGTTCTTTACATTAGAACTTTCATCAGGACATAATCACACAAACATATAAACACTGACTTTATATAAGAAGAGCTATCATACCTTATTCCCTTCACCTGTGTGCGAGTGTCAGAATATATATATATATTTTTAACGTTATTCTAAATGTATTTACACTTTTAATAATGATTTATGTATGAGTATATAAAAATACTTTGAAAAAATAAAAAAAAAATATATATATATATATATATATATATATATATATATATATATATATATATATATATATATATAAATATAAAAAAAATACCGTCACTCTAGGATTAGTTAATCCGTTTTAATTCTCAGTTGATCCAAAGATGTCAATGTTTCAGCTCCCGACTGGAACTTTCATCAGGACACAATAAAATGAGGGTTAATAAGTATGTAGGGGTTTATAAAACACCCCTTCATGTCTCATTAGAGATGTTTACACTTTGTCTGATACCAGCAAAGTTTATTGTATGTGTAGAAGCCCTCTAAAGGGTTAAATGTGAAAGGTTTTATAAAATACCCCTTCCTGTCTCACAGGAGATTCTTGGCTGATATCAGAAAATTTAATGGCTAGTGTAGGACTCACCTTTTGGGGCTTGCCTTGATGTGGCAGGTGAGCTTATATTAAAATTGCCATTGGAATAAAACTAAAGAGCCTCCATTTTGTTTAAATGTACATAGGGATTTAGGCCACAGCGCAGGTAACGTTCTCTTTACTTTCAAACACAATTTATTTCCAAAACTTCGGTCACTTTATAACATCTGTTTTGTAAATAAATTGCGTTTGAAAGCAAGTCCGGTGAGTGCTCTCCTTCATGTTTATTTATAATTCCAAGGCTGGAGGTGCACAGTGGCAAGAAAAATTCAAATGAAAAGTGAGTACAGGACAGTGGTATACATAGATATATCACCAGTAGAATCTGTTGGAGTCAGGTTGCAGGTTCAATTGCAGGGTTGACTCAGCCCATCATCCTTCTGAACTAGATAAAATTAGTATGTATTTTTTATTTAATTGTATTATTCTGTCTGTAAAACCAAACTAAAAATTTGGAGATATACTTTAATACAATTGTTCATTCAAGTACAAGGGTTAATTAACTTCTCCAAGGCTGGTTATAATTAGTCATGCTTGAGCAGACACTATCCTCAGGCTCGAAATGGCATTAGATTTTCCTTGTATATATCTTTTACACTACATGATTTTTTTAGGGCTAGAATGGGCTACTACTGTTGGAAAGGGAAGATATGACTACTGTCAATGATAAGGGGTGAGGGAGAATGGGTCACTAAGGCTTGTCCTAAGGTCTCTAGTGGGAGAGAATAAGCTACCATTTACTTATTAACTCGTCCTCAACAAACTCAGCCAATGATATCCAGGTTGGTTAAAATTACCGTGACTGCTGAGGCCTCGAAACCCAACAAACCCCCAGACCCATTCCCTTTCCCAACAAACACACAACACCATTTAAAATAGAAAAAAGCAATGGCCACAACTTGTTATTAACAAATTCTAGCAACGTAAAACATATTGTCAGCTGCTGAAATGACCAGCAGACAGCTACCATTAACATGTACTCCAGAGCATTCATCCTCAACCAGCAGACTATGACTGCCCAAGTTTCTCCGGGCAACCTCCATTTATTGCCGCTGGCAAGGGAATACTGCAGCTGTGACGAAATGAAAGAAAGAACACAACAAGCAAACCATAGCAGATACAAAATGTAGGGTGGGAAAGAGCACAGCTAGGATCCATCAGCCGTGCACTGCTTCAGACTGGTAAATTTTCTCACTTTTCCCCAACATTCCCTGCTCCTTACTAACATTAAAACCATGTGAACCCCTCGAGGCAGCAGTCATGTCCCCCACTTCAACTAGTTTCGTGGGGAATGCCTTTCTTAAAGGACCACTCTAGGCACCCAGACCACTTCAGCTTAATGAAGTGGTCTGGGTGCCAGGTCCCTCTAGGATTAACCCTTTTTTTTTTTTTATAAACATAGCAGCTTCAGAGAAACTGCTATGTTTATAATAGGGTTAATCCAGCCTCTAAAGCCTCTAGTGGCTGTCTCACTGACAGCCACTAGAGGCGTTTGCGTGCTTCTCACTGTGAAAATCACAGTAAGAAGACGCAAGCGTCCATAGGAAAGCAATGCTTTCCTATGAGACTGGATGAATGCGCGCGCAGCTCCTGCCGCGCATGCACATTCAGCCAAAGAGGAGGAGAAGAGGCGGAGAGGAGGAGGAGAGCTCCCCGCCCGGCGCTGGAGAAAAGTAAGATTTTAACCCCTTCCTCTCCCCAGAGCCCGGTGGGAGGGGGTCCCTGAGGGTGGGGGCAAAAATTATTTTTCTTAATGTAAAATTCACAGAAGGACCTACAGATTAATTGAAGATGATTTTCAGAGTATTTGTGATGCAATTTATTACATCTGTCTGACTTTTCACCTGTTTATGCTATATGTCCTGTCATCTTAAAACACACAATTTTTTTCAGTCATGCAAAACTCACGGATCACAGATTCAAAGGGAAACTATAGTGCCAGGAAAAAAAAAAAAAAAAAAATTCCTGGCACTATAGCTTCCCCCTCCGTTGAGGCATCCGCACGTGGTGCAAAAGTGTTAAAAACCGAGCAGCAGAGGAGGAAGCTGCAATATGAATGCAAAAGCTGCCCCCTATGTTAGCCAGGTTACTGCATATCTGGCAGCATGTCCCAAAATTGCATAAAAATTCACCCTAACACTACATACCTAAACTTTGGCAGACAAGTTGCAGTCTCGAAAGGACACCAGATGACTTCCAATATATAGACATAAGGGCCTTGTCAGCTGTCAAAAGGTGTTCTGTCAATAGTCTCCTCAATAGTCTGACTTGACAATAGTTTTGATCGCAACATAGAAATGTTTAACAATTATTTCTGCTACAATGGAAACAAAAGCATTCTGCCTATCACTGCCCTCCCCTTGTGCCACATAGCTAAAGGCTAGAATGAAGCTGGCTCTGGTCCGCCTTCTCTCCTCCCCTGCCGTCGTGGAAGACCTTATGTGCATGCGCACCAATGACTGCACACTCATTAGGATTTCCTCATAGAAAAGCATTATTCAAAATGGAGTTTGCATAGCGTGAGGACGTCCAGCGTCAGTTAGGCAACCGAAAGTAGAGGTGGAGTTAACCCTAGCAAGTACTTACTGTAGTTACTTAAAAACTGCAATAGTTACCTGCTAGGGTTAAGGGACCTGGGACACTGCACCCAGATCACCCCAGTGAACTGCACTGGTCTACATGCCTATAGTGTCCCTTTAATAATTTTAGTCACTTTTTTCTCCAACAAAAAAGTTTCATGCTTTTCTTTTTCCCCACCACCACAGTAACTGGGAAAGTCTCGTGAAATGGAAATTTATACAAAAACTATAATTATCAAAATAATGATGGTTTTTAACGGTCCTTTTTCAGAACACTTTGATAAATATCTCCCAACTTTCCTTTGCCAATATCGATTTATAAAATATTTTACCAGGAACGATTATGGTAATTGAGATTGCTCTAGTTTTACAAGTTTAGCATAATATCATATTTCTCCAAGTATTGGTAGTATTATGTAGAATGCCCACTTACTCGGCCTACCAATTGTGCTTTTATCCTATCTTTATCTACTATAATGCTTTCTGGATCAGATTCCATTTTCTTTGTGCAAGTGAATAATTAGAGGTTTTTCTTTACTTTTCTGTTACACTAAGTACCTACCGTTTTGAAAAATAAATAAAAAATGTGTTCTAAAACAAGTTGGATGAAACCAAAAGACGTATCAAACATTACTAAAATTGCATACTGTTATAAAAAAAAGTCACCGATGAAACATCAGGAGAAACTCATGTCTATTTTATTATTATTTTTTTAAATATTAAATAAATATAATAAAATGTATAATCTGTGTGGGAACACCTAAATGTGAAAGAGGTCCTTAACAATAGGTCAAATACATACCGGTAGCAAAAATATGGTCTGATGAGCCACAATTTATACAATACAGTAGAACAGTAGAAGCAACAGGAAAAATCCCATAAGTCTCAGGCAAAATAATCCTTAATTGTATCTTGATGAGATGCATAATTTTTTTTCTAGAATATATATATATATAAAATATTTCATGATTCAGCTGGATATTTGCAATGAATTTATGGATAATCATTGATGGATGGTCATGTGATTATCCATTATAACTGTCAGACATTTTTTCCATCAGGTGATATGAGTGAAAATAGACCAAAGTGCACATAAAAAGGAAGAAGGAAATTATATATGAGATGAAAGATTTGTGGAAAGTGAGGGGGAGAAAAAAAAAAAAAAAGGGAGGGGGGAGGTAAAACAGACAGAGCAGGGTGATCCAGGATCTCTTATTCCGCCCTCCACAGTTGATGGGCTTTTAACTTGCAGAGGAGGAAGCTGCAATATGAATGCAGAAGCTGTCCCCTATGTTAGCCAGGTTACTGCATATCTGGCAGCATGTCCCAAAATTGCGTAAAAATTCACCCTAACACTACATACCTAAACTTTGGCAGACAAGTTGTAGCCTCGAAAGGACACCAGATGACTTCCAATATATAGAAATAAGGGCCTTGTCAGCTGTCAAAAGGTGTTCTGTCAATAGTCTCCTCAATAGTCTGACTTGACAATAGTTTTGATCGCAACATAGAAATGTTTAACAATTATTTCTGCTACAATGGAAACAAAAGCATTCTGCCTATCACTGCCCTCCCCTTGTGCCACATAGCTAAAGGCTAAAATGAATTTGGCCTGACAAAAATATGAATGGGGAAACATTTGACATGTAAAATAATTTCTATGCAGGGTTTTCTTTGTTGAAAAGGAACACGAAAGATGGCCTGTTCCCTTCTCAAAAAATCAATTTTAAACATTAGGACTCACAAGCTTGCCATGCAAATAGTTTGGGGCAAGATTGACTGCAGGCACCCACTGTTTAAATTCACAGCAACCGCTAAACATGGTGCATTGAAGACCAAGTGTCATTCCCTTCTCTCTGATGACTGGAGGCCTGCAAAATCAACATGTGATTTAATAAATAGATGATTTGACCTTCAAATAGTAATTTAAAAAAAATAATTTTTTTTTAAAGGGGAGTGAGGGGACAAAGTAGAGAATCCAAAGTTAGCAAACCCTCAGCTTTCACAAAGATAGCTAGCTCAGGCACAAAAGATTAAACACCAGGCTGGGCTCCCTCCAGCTCATAACAAGCCTAAGATAAAAAGTCAGCAAGCGGCCATAATCACCAATAACTCTGTAATAACCTATTAGGAGATTAGCTTTATAACAGCCCACAACAGCAGAGGGGGTCCAAATCAGTATCCAGAATGAATTACATTGTGGGGAAGTAAGGAGTGGTGTTGTCAGGGAGCAATGAAAGAAGGTTGTTATATAGCGACAAGATATTCTAAAGCACTTTACAATGCGGTTATAACAACAAATAAACAAGGTATAAAACTAGGGATGCACGGAAATGAAAATTCAGGATGCCCTTGGCTGAAAACAATTCCCCCCCTCCCCCAAATGATGTGTGTAGGTTATGTAGTATGTATGGAATATAGTGAGGTGTGGGAAAGGGATGTAGTGTGTAGGTTATATAGTGTGTGTGTGTGTGTGTGTGTGTGTAGGGAACACAGTGTGGTGTGGGATAGGGATTTAGTTTGTATGTTTGTAGGTTATGTAGAGTGAGTAGGGCACATAATGTGGGGTGTCATAGGGGTGTAGGTCACAGTGTGGGGTGGGATAGGGATGTAGTATGGGTAAGACAGTGTGGGGATAGGGATGCCAGAGTGAGGGGGTGACAGGTGGCAGAGTGTGGGAGGGAGTGACGGGTGGCAGAGTGAGGGGGTGACTGGTGACGGTGACTGAGGGAGGGGGTGACTAGTGGCAGAGTGACGGGGTGACTGGTGGCAGTGAGGGAGGGTGTTCGTAATACCTTTCATTCCCTGGTGGTCCAGTGACCTGGCTCCCTGGTGGTCCATCTCTCCAGTCTGCAGCTCCGCTCGGTGTGAACTGCAGACTGTGCTGCATCTCGCGATATCTAGAAGTCAGAGAGATGCCATGGTAATGCTCCAACTGGCCAGAGATCGCGAAATAAAGCAAAGTTTGCAGCTCACACCGGGAGGAGCTGCAGACTGTACAGGCTCTCTCCCCAGGCAGACGGGAGGGGCCTCGCACCAGACGGCACACAGGGCAAGCCGCCGGGCCCCCATCTCGATGTCGGGTCCGCGGTCAAGGACAGAGGACCTGACAAGTGACTTTGCCCTATTTTGTAGATTTGATCCATTTTCGGCCGAAATGGGATATGTCCATTTTCTGCTGAAAAAGTCAGCAGCCGAAATTTTGGTGCATTCCTATGTACATCAGAGGTAAGTAAACAACAGAGGATGTATTTACTAAAGAATGATGTAGACATAACAATAGGGTTGTAAATGATACACCAAAAGAGCCAAACTGGAAAAATAACTGAAAAACAGTATATCACCACAGTGTCAGTAAGTGTAGTGAAATAGAAGTATAAACGATACTTCGATCAGAGTCATAAACAGCCTCCCAAGATCGCTACCCCTCCTCAAAAAAAAAAAATAAAAAAAAAATTTAAAAAAATCAGCAATTTTATTTTGTAAAAAGTGAACAATCACCATCAGCCTAGGATAAAATGAAAGAACAAATGGTCCTGGTGATCCATCTACTACCTTGAAGTGGAAAGTGGGACCAATAGCCCCCCACAACCTTGGGGGAGACACCTTGTGAGCGCACTTATGCGTGGCGCATAACTGACTGTATTTATTGTATTACAGTATATTTTGTTTATGTTTCTTTTTTAGATTTGTCCAGCCGTATCCAGCATATTTGTTCTGGAAAAATAACAGAGCTGAATAATTTTATCATTTGTCAAATTCAACAATTAAAATAATAATAATAATAATAATAATAATAATAATAATAATAATAATATATATATATTTTTTTTTTAAACAGTGATTTGAAAAGGTTAAGGTGATAGGAGTATGTATGTGAAACACTACTATTTGGAATTATGTGTTGGACAGGCTTCTCGATGATGATGCCATCTTGGTGCCTGAGCAAGTTGCTGTTGATACCATCAGGGTGCCTGAGCAAGTTGCTGTTGATACCATCAGGGTGCCTGAGCAAGCTGGTTTGGGGCAGATAGAGGTCACAGAGCTGCCGGGACCAGAGCGATGTTACAGAGAAGCTAGAGGCAGACAGAAAGCACTCAAGCTTTTTGTAGGCTCATTGGCATGATAGAGTGATGGCAGAGCACATGGGGGCAATACGATGGCACACAAAGGCTGGGGGCAGAGAGAGAGCACTCTCAGGTTTTCTTGTAGGCACAAATGGCTCATTGGCATGATGGCACAGAGCTGTCAGGGTCAGAACGATGGCACAGAGGCGGGGGCCAGAGAGGTGGCACTGACAGGTTGTTTAGGATGATATACAAATTTTATGCATTTACTGCTCATGATATGACAAAATTATGCATTTACTACACTTGGAATGATGTACTAAACTTATTACAAAGAGGCTAGAGCAATGGCACAGAGAGGCTGGGGCCAGAGTGTTCACTTTCTGTATTTATTGCACATTGGCATGATATACAAGGAATATGCATTTACTGCTCATTGACATGATGTATCAAGGTTTATGCATTTAATGCTCATTGGCATGATGTATCAAGGTTTATGCATTTAATGCATTAATGGCATTCCTTTGTTGGGAATCCTTCAGAACTCTGTTCAATGCTTGCCTGGTTGGGGAGTTCTCCCTTATTGATCAGTAATGTCCAAGTGTCAAGTGGGCTAGGCAATTGGTCCCCAGGCTGCTCTCTAACCACTTTTCACATCTAAATGCCCAAGTGCATAGTACTTGAATAGAGAGTATTAAACTACTGTGTACGTCTATCAACACATCTATTTTGTTTGTGTTTGTGATCGCTGATGTTATCGGGTGGGTTGGTAAAATTCCACTATGGGCTACTAAGTTGTTTTTGCCTCCCAGGCCACAAGTTGCCAACCTTCCCCTGTTAGTGGCAACCCTTATTCAGGGACATGGAGAGAATCCATTGTGTTCACTCCCCAGCAAAAATTTCCTAGACCGAGGGGTCGGAAGTCTTAATTAGGGGAGCTGGTTCCTGATTAATGGTGTGTGTGGAATATGTGCTGCCTTCTAAATTTTCTTTAAATGGAAAATAACATCTTGTGAGCAGATTACCGGGAGTGAATGGGAAGCTGCTGCAGATCATTAATTAATATTTGGAATGCTGAGTCAGTAATTAAAGTGGAAGGCAAATAGGGAGGGGCGAATATACTGTCTGAAGTGCCAGGGGATTAGATGAATGAAAAGCATATAACCCAGATTTCATTAGAAAATATTGGGGGTAAAATATATATTCTAGTAAAAAGCTTTAAATGGGAGAAATCTGCATTAATATTTCACTGGTTTTCATGGAGACTGCTGCATTTTGAAGACTTTGTCCCCATAATTACTTTTATATATAGAAAACCCATCAAGTTATTTATTGCTTTTCCACACATATTCTCTTATGACTAAATAATGTACAATTTAAATTTCAGCATGTTGCAAAGCAGAAAACAATTAACATAAAACAAGTGGATAGATAATTCATATTATGGATGTGAACATTGATGAGGGTCCTGCAGTTTTGACAGCTTATACACACACATCTACATCCTGTTCTCAAACGTTTCTGGTTCTCAACTGATTGAGTTGAAATTCTCTGCATTGGTGACCGAGTAAATTTAACACTTTCTATTCAAGTGCACCCATTTTGAGACTATTCAAAAGTATATATTTGTAGAAAGTTGATCCGCTAGGCCTAGACTATTTAACTAAGAGCATTCGGACACTTAATTTAAAGGGACACTATAGTCACCAGAACAACTACAGCTTATTGTGTTTGTTCTGGTGATTATAATCAGTCCTTTCAGGTTTTTTTCTGTAAACACAATTTTTCAGAAAAAGGGCAGTGTTTACACTACAGCCTCTGGGACACCTCCACTGGTCACTCCTCAGATGGCTGCTAGATGTGCTTCCTGGGGCAGTCCTGCCTAGTGTGCAGCACAGCCATTCAGTATCTCCACCCTCTGCATGCAGACACTGAACTTTCTACATAGAGATGCATTGATTCATTGCATCTCTATGAGGAGATGCTGATTGGCCAGGGCTATGTTTGGCTTGTACTGGCTCTGCCTCTGATATGTCACCTTGGCAATCATTGTGATTGGCTGAGATCACCACTTCTAATTATGACAACCATGGAGACAGATCAGAGGCAGAGCCAGCACCAACAGACTGTGAAAAAGGTAATATTTGACTATATTTAAGAGGGCAATGGAGGAGCTTTGGGGGTGGATGGTGTGTTTAACACTATAGGGTCAGGAATATTTGTGTTCCTGACCCTATAGTATTCCTTTAACTCCAATGATCATAATCACTACAGTACTGGTGTGCACTTGCTCTACTAGGCAAACCATTGTCATACAGTTTGACAATTTACCTGGGTCCCTTGGGGCTGCAAGAGGAGTCGTACGTATCTATAGAATAAAGCAGGGCAGACCCAGGACTGTGCTGAGTGGCTTATGCGTTCAGCCAATAAGTGCACTCCTGCATGGTCTTGCTTATAGGTCTTAACATATGAGGAAAGGGATTTAGGGGTGATTATTTCTGATGACTTAAAGGTAGGCAGACAATGTAATAGAGCAGCAGGAAATGCTAGCAGAATGCTTGGTTGTATAGGGAGTGGTATTAGCAGTAGAAAGAGGGGAGTGCTCATGCCATTGTACAGAACACTGGTGAGACCTCACTTGGAGTATTGTACACAGTACTGGAGACCGTATCTTCAGAAGGATATTGATACCTTAGAGAGGGTTCAGAGAAGGGCTACTAAACTGGTTCATGGATTGCGGGATAAAACTTACCAGGAAAGGTTAAAAGGATCTTAACATGTATAGCTTGGAGGAAAGACGAGACAGGGGGGATATGATAGAAACATTTAAATATATAAAGGGAATCAACACAGTAAAGGAGGAGACTATATTTAAAAGAAGAAAAACTACCACAACAAGAGGACATAGTCTTAAATTAGAGGGACAAAGGTTTAGAAATAATATCAGGAAATATTACTTTACTGAGAGGGTAGTGGATGCATGGACTAGCCTTCCAGCTGAAGTGGTAGAGGTTAACACAGTAAAGGAGTTTAAGCATGCGTGGGATAGGCATAAGGCTATCCTAACTATAAGATAAGGCAGGGACTAATGAAAGTATTTAGAAAATTGGGCAGACTAGATGGGCCGAATGGTTCTTATCTGCCGTCACATTCTATGTTTCTATGTTTCTAGGTCTATAGGGATAAAAGATATTCCTGCATAAGAAGACTAGAGGCAGGGGCTGCAACAGCAGATGACAGGCAGGTCCAAGTAAATTTTGGTTATACTGCCTCAAATTTGCTTTAACCTTTAACCACTGTATCACCAGCTACTGTTACAGCTCATGGTTACAGTTCATTTTTGTGTTTATAGTTTTTGCAGGAAGCTTCAAAAACCATGTGCCGCTACCACAGATTTGGATTACGTTACTGCCCCCAACTACAGTAAATCCATAAATGTTTTCACAGATTTATTTACTAAACCCCTGTCACTTGTTGGACAAAATAATAGTCCCCAACTGCACCCCAACATGGCAACACATTACTAAAATAGCTCAGCTGCCTGCTCTCAGACAAAGAAGGAAATCACTGAAGTTGTCATGGTCCTTGGAGTCACCCTTTAACTCTTATCACTGGGCCATTTTACTATCAAATTCTGGGAAATTAAGCAATAAATGCATTTTCTCTATGGAATTTTCACATACATATTGAACTTTAAATGGTGAATAGTACAGGGCTTGCATGTTCTACTACTTAAAAAGTTTTAGATTTGTATTCTTTTATCTCCCAAGAACAGCGAAACTGTAAACATATTGATTTTTGGGTAACTAACAAGGTCAAGTTGGAGACACCATGTCATGTCTCTTTGCTTGCTTCCCAAAGCTTTTTGATGACGTAACACTATGTGTCACCACAGGCTCACCAGCATCACACGACTGACTCAATTTCTAACTTTAGCATCACTGATAGCCAAGGCCACTCAGCCTGGGAGCCAATCAGGCAGTGTTGCAGAAAGATATTATTGCAAGGTAGGTCAGCAATAGCCTGGTATTCTATACTGTGTACAGAGCCTGCAGAACTGGGTGACAGGCATCAAATCTCTGTGACAGCTTGTCCTAGAGAGTTAATGCCAGAGCAGACTCTGTAAACACAATTGCTGGATGTGTCAAGATTGAGATATTCAGCAAAAGCCTTTAACATGCCGCAATAGCGGCTTGAACCAGGAGCTAAGTGTGCCACCAATCATTTTTAAATATGTTACCAGTAATGACTGCACAAGTCCTATGAGGTAATTAATCCAAATAATATACTGGTGCTCCAGGCTCAGGAGAAGGCATCCCACTTCTAAATGCAGAGAGAGTCCAGGCACATAGGTTCCATCACACTGCAGTCATTTTACTGGAATAAGCACAACATGACAACGTTTCGGCTGATATGGACAGTCTTTCTCCAATCATGTCTTGAGAAAGGCTGTAACGTCATGCTTATTTGAACAAAACGTCTGCAGTAGGATGGAATCTGTGTGCCTGGACTCTGTAACCTTCTGGGGTATCTGCATATTTTGCTAAGAACCCAGATGGTGATTGCTTCGTTTGCGTTTTGGTGGCTGCATGGTGTAGAAGAAGTTGGTTTTTATTTCCCTGAACATATTCTTCGCTGGTACTCACTTCCCATGAGAGGAATCTGGGAATACCCATATCTCACCGAAATCAGTGAGATCACTATTGTGGGTGGATTCAAATGACTGAATTGTACTCTTAAAGGACCACTCTAGGCACCCAGACCACTTCAGCTTAATGAAGTGGTCTGGGTGCCAGGTCCCTCTAGGATTAACCCCTTTTTATTTATAAACATAGCAGTTTCAGAGAAACGGTTATGTTTATAATAGGGTTAATCCAGCCTCTAAAGCCTCTAGTGGCGGTCTCACTGACAGCCGCTAGAGGCGTTTGCATGCTTCTCACTGTGAAAATCACAGTGAGAAGACCCAAGTGTCCATAGGAAGGCATTATGAATGCTTTCCTATGACACTGGCTGAATGCGCGCGCAGCTGCTGCCGCGCATGCGCATTCAGCCGAAGAGGAGGAGAGGAGGCGGAGAGCTCCCCGCCTGGTGCTGTAGAAAAGGTAAGATGTAACCCTTTCCTCGCCATCCAGCCTGGCGGGAGTGGGACCCTGAGGGTGGGGGCACCCTCACGGCACTATAGTGGCCCTTTAACCCTGCAAGTGTAATTATTGCAGTTTTTTATAAACTGCAATAATTACCTTGCAGGGTTAACTCCACCTCTAGTGGCTGTCTACTAGACAGCCACTAGAGGGCACTTCTGTGTCTATAGCACAGATTTTCTGTGCTAAAGCATCGCTGGACGTCCTCACGCTGTGTGAGGACCTCCAACGTTGCTCAATTCCCCTCAGGAAAGCATTGAAAAGCATTTTCAATGCTTTCCTATGGAGAGCTCTAATGCGCGTGTGCGACATTGACGCGCATGCGAATTAGGTCTCAGCCGGTGGGCGGGATCAGTCTCGCCCACCAGCTGACGTAATGAAGAGGAGGAGTGGCGGCGACCCGAAACCACCGCCGAGGGACATCGGCGGGGGTCTTAGACAAGTAACTGAAGGGGTTTTCACCCCTTCAGAAACCAGAGATGGGTGGTGGGAGGAAGAGGGGACCTGCAGTGCCAGGAAAACGGATTGTTTTCCTGGCACTGGAGAGTCCCTTTAAGGTCAGACATTACTAACTGCACTAGCAAGTGTGAGATATAGATATATATATTAAACACACACACACACACACACACACACACACACGTTCCTGACACTATTGCGTTAAAATATTTTTAGGTCCCTAGCCCCCCTTGCATGGCAAAGGAAAAGGTGTTTTTACTCACCTTTTCAACTACGCCGCGCTGGTCTCGCAGTGGCTGGCCCTGCCTCCATGCCTGTTCATCAATCTTGATGATCTCAGCCAATCCAATGTTTTCTCATAGGAAAGCATCGGGAAGCTATTGCGTATACACAGTTAAATGCCACGCTGCGCCAATCAGCATCTTCTCATAGAGATGCACTGAATCAATGCAATCCATGTACAGCGTGGAGACACTGAACGCTAGTGCTACACACTGTGCAGCAGAGGACTAGGAAGTATCTCTAGGGGCTGTCTGATTGACTGCCAATTGAGGTGTTACTAGGTACCAATGTAAACTCTGAAAAGGTAGTGTTTACATTATAGGTCATACAGGGACAGGCAATAGACACCATAACCACCAAATGAAGCTGTAGTGGCTTTGGTGACTACAGTGTCACTTTAGGGACACCATCTGGCCCCTACAGACCCTGTGAAAGTATGGAATGCTGTGTCATTCGCAAATCTTTACTGTTCTGCATCTGTTACATATGCAGGCCAATTTGAAATATGATTTTTAAAGGCTGGTTTGTTATTAATCACCTCCCCTTTCTTCTTTCCTTTTTTCCTACCATCTTTATTTCTCTCCCTAATTTATTAAATGACCAACATTTTATGATCATGTTTTTGGGTTTAAGGAGTACTTTAGTCATTGAAGCCACCCAGTAGTAGCGTGAGTTTGAGCACAGAGCTTACTATTGTAAGTTTAAAGGACCACTATAGTGCCAGGAAAACATACTCGTTTTCCTGGCACTATAGTGCCCTGAGCGTGCCCCCACCCTCAGGGACCCCCTCCCGCCCGGCTCTGGAAAGGGGTTTAAACTTACCTTTTTCCAGCGCTGGGCGGGGAGCTCTCCTCCTCCGATCCTCCTCTTCTCCTCCTCCCCGTCGGCTGAATGCGCACGCATTCAGCCGGTCACATAGGAAAGCATTCATAATGCTTTCCTATGGACGCTGGCGTGCTCTCACAGTGAAAATCACAGTGAGAAGCACGCAAGCGCCTCTAGTGGCTGTCAATGAGCCAGCCACTAGAGGATTAGGGGGAAGGCTTAACCCATTCATAAACATAGCAGTTTCTCTGAAACTGCTATGTTGATGAAAAAATGGGTTAACCCTAGCTGGACCTGGCACCCAGACCACTTCATTAAGCTGAAGTGGTCTGGGTGCCTAGAGTGGTCCTTTAAGTGTGCTTTTGTATTACACAGCCATGTTACAGTGTTGCTGCTCATCCCATGTGTTTCCTGTTAATAGTTAATCAGTGTTAGGGGTGTGGAGCTTCTATTCTCAACCAGGAGGGTTTAGAAAAATACCCCTCTCTGTCTTATTGGAGATTTTGCCTTTTAGCTGAAAGCAGCAAGTGATTTGTTAGTGTAGGACTTACCTAAGAGGTTTTACCTTGACATGGCAGGAGAGCTTACCCTTTGATGGCCATTGGAATGATACTAAAAGCCTCCAATTATTCAAATGTGCATAGGGATTTGGGATAGTGCGTAAGTAACTTTTTTTTTTTAAATGACAATCACGCCTAAGAATGTTTTGCACATGCACTTTGACATGTGACTGCCCTATACACCTTTTCTTTATTATTCCATCACTGGTCCTTAAAAGATAGGCGATAAACACACAGCCCAAACCCTGCATTATGTACATCGGTCCTACCATACATTTATTCCTGTTTTGACCCTTCACACAAGCAACTCTCTCATATACCTCCCTATAGCCACTTCCCCCCCTCCTCCCCCCTTAGAAAGTGAGAAGTGAGTGAATGAGTCAGGGCAGGAGACACTGAGACAATGGGTGTGGGTGGAGAGAGAGAGAGAGAGAGTGAGAGAGAGAAGGCGAGAGGGAGGGTGTGGGGGTGATTAATGGGGAGGGAGAGGCCTCAGTCAGCACTGCAGATAAACCTGCCCAGAATATTAAACCCTGCACAGGGATCTCCTGCTCCTGACATTAACCCCCCACTATTTGTAAAGCCAGCACAGGAGCAAATACCTTGAGAAACACAACTTGGAACTTGCACAGGAGCTTGCAATCTACTTGTAAAATGCTTCATCAAAGTCAAAGGGGCATACAGTACATTTGCTATTTAGGCTGGCACTAAGGTGCTTTTAAACTGTAATGTGCAGTGTTTGCATGCGGGGGAGGGATAACAAAAGCATTTTAAAAGCACTGAGGCACATATGCATTATGTGAATGAGTTGACCACTAACAGAAGGGAAAATTTCCACAGGATATTCCCTGTTTTTTCATCTCTGCTCTAGAGGGGGATAATTAGCTATTGCACTATAAATAATTACTGTCTGCAACAAATAAAGAAGGGAAGCACTATAAACAACTCTCTTCCTGACTGTGCCCCCTTCCCCCCCCACTTCCAACACCAATTACTTTTTCTCTTTTCTGTCATAATCACATCTTTTGCAGATTCCCCCGATACTCTGTTTCAGCTCTCCCTTCTGTTCACTGCATCCTTCCAGAACTGTAAAAAGTACTCCTCTCATGCCTGAGGCTGGGAACTAACAATTTTTAAATTAACCATTTATTGGAATGTGCATCAGAGCATACTACTGTAGTTTAATTCAAGCTGCTCCAACAGTGGGGCAGGAATTATTTCAAGGTTCTCCCATGCCAAACATGTATTAGTACAGATCACAAAAATCACCATCACAACACACTCTAATAAGCTAAAGTTATTTATCATATACCCATCGTTAAACTGCTGTGCCCTTTTTTACTGTCCCAAACAGGCAGGCATTCTAATAAGCGTCCACCATGTATTTCATATATTTCTCAATCCTTAATTGGAACCCTGCTATACTACACTAGTGAATAGGTTACAGCTCAAATTACAAAATGCATAAAGCGACCATTACAATATAAAAGTAGTGATATTGCATAATCCAATTTAAGCAATAAAAAAAAAAAAAAAAGCTAAAACATACCTATGTTGAACACACTCTTTAAATACTTCTCAGTGCAAGACTGCATTACGCTATTGTCAAGTTTTGTTTTTTTTAATTCTCAATGTCCTTACAATATATATATTATATTATGAATTTGTCAAATCTTAGTTACAAATGAAAAGTTAAATATTCAAATTATCACTTGTTTTACATGTGTGCAAGAGAACAAGTCATTACTTTACCAACAGTACATTTATTCAACCTTGTTTTATTTGACACACAGCAATTGATCACTTCCTCTTTATAGTACTCATATTACACCTCATATAAAGGCCTAAAACATGCAACGATACTTTACAAGAAAAAAATAGCTTCTTCTTCAATCTCATAAAAGTCAAGAGAGCTCAAATCTAATTATACGACTCCCACACCTTGGAGGTAGCAAAAACAGCTCACTGAGAATGTCACAAGTTAACACATGGATACATTTTTTTTTAAGTGGTGAAGACTGTATGAAAAAATATTTTAGGTTTACTATAGATACAAGGTATTGTTTAATTCTGACATGGAAAACATACTAACACATGACACACCAGCTTGCTGAAGTGCTTTATGTATGAAAAGTATGTGCTCTCCATCCACTCCTCCCCATTTACCAAAAATGCAGATTTCAAAACAAATTGACACTTTTATAATTAATCTAGTTACACCCCTCTTGGCTGCCAGACAACCAGTTCTGTTACTTCCTGGTTGCTTGGCTCAGCAGAGCTACACTTAAAAGGCAGACAATGGCTCAGAGCACCTGCTTTGCAAAGACTTCTCATAGAGTTGTATTGGGAAGTCTGTGATTGGACAACCACAGAAAGCCTGGATGGGGTTGGAAGGGGAGGGCTTGCAAAGGCTTCAGACAAGAGATCTGCCTCTTCTGCTAGGTGATATTAGAAATACCCCCAATGAAAAAAAAAATACACAATTAAATGTCTGCATGTTTTCATTGATGGTATGTCTACTAGACATTGTTTTTAGTGTATTTGGGCAGCGGACTGTCCCTTTTCAGCTTCTCCACTCTGTATACTAACACTCAAACTCCAACAGTATACTTTAATAGAATTACAAGTATTTCTATAAACACCAACATATTGCAGAGTGCTGTACAATAAGTAAACAAAACAAAACATGCTTGACATACTGAAAAGGTAGTTGAATAGGATCCTGCCCAAACGAGACAATCTTACATATTTACAAATGACATTTTACTCTGCAAGTTGTGTTTGGCATGCTTGTGCTGCACACAACCAGACATCCGTTCCCTTCATTTTCTGGTTGGAGAATAAAAAAAAATTAATAAACTGAAGTAACATTCCTGAGTGATCTGTGGTACAAGAGACTGTCACATACTGCCCTGTTCACAAAACTCAGGCTGATAGAAGCCCAAATAGTTTTCTGAAGAACTTTGATTTGGTTGAGTGTTACACTGCCTTGACACATAAGCTCAGTAAGTGAAAAGTAAGGTGCATTCCAAATGATGTTCTTCAACCTCACCCTCCAAAACTTAACGAGAGAGAGAGAGAGAACGAGAGAGAACGAGAGAGAACATATATGTAAAGGCTTGGCCTGCAGTTGTGGGAGGGGCATTTTTAAGCCCACTACTTACCTCCCTCTGTCCCGTTCGTTCCTTAGCGTTGCATGACCCCACCCTCCTCTCCTTTTTATACCTTCACCTTATTGGGTGGGCTCTTTTCATTTACAGGCCTACTGCTGTGATGTGATAAGGGCATAAAAGCCAAATCAAGAGTGTAAGGAGAGTAACAAGGTGTAAGAAGAGGAAAGGTCTGTTGTGGTGTGCCGGCACCAACGTAGCAGTAGGCCTGTAAATTAAAAGGGCCTACCCAATAAGGTGAAGGTATAAAAAGGGAGAGGAGGGTGGGGTCATGCAACGCTAAGGAACAAACGAGACAGATACACATACACACACACACAGTAATCACAAATCATTGCAATGAATAGAGGCAAAAATGGTGGTGTGAAAACGGTTGCAATATCTCCTATGAAATAACTGACAGAGTATCTAGTTTGAAATTTTTATACATGTGGATCATTGCTGCAGTCTAAGTAATTTTTATCTCTATACACAACAGGGATACAAAAATTACAGGAAAATTTAATTTGTTTTGTGTGATTACTGACAGAAAATAGTGATTACATAGCCATACTTAAACGATCAAACACCCCGTGTGAAATACCCTGGGTTGCCTACTCTTGTTGGTCCTGTGTGAAAGCATTCAATAATGGAGGGAAATGACAGTTTTACAAATGTATAGCAGAGATGCAACAATTACTTAACATGTTGCTACTCAAAGGATTTAATTACAGAAATACCTAAACCAAGCAGTCTATTATCTACTATCTGTCTATATCAAAGTTCCAAAATACACATAAAATGGTATTTAAAAACAAAACAAAAAAAAAAAAAGTTGAAAAATCTGTTAAGGCATGCCACTCAAACACACATTGAAGATACATATTTAAAAGACATGCCACCTTGCAGTGTGCATTCTCCTCAAAACATCCTATTAAAGCGGTGGTATGGAAGCACAAAGATCAATACAATAAATCATGAACCAATATAACATGCATATAATTTATATGAGATACGCTCCGCACATTTTGATCAGTGTTTTCAGAGGACAGTGCAGAGTACGTGAAGTGAATACTGTACATGAATGATCAGGGCTATGCAATGAGTTATTTATGTACGTGGGTGTTTTAGGTGCTGCGTGGGAGGCTTGAGATGTGAGTTAGGAGTGCAGAATCTAGAATGTGAGTGCAGTGAGTTGCTTAGCATACATGCATTACATGTTCTCATGCAGAGGACAAGCTACTGCACAGCAAGACACCAACTCTTCTGTCAAACTGCTCAATTTTTAACCTTTTAATGGCCAGAGAGTTATAGAACATATATGTACAATAAAAATGGTACAACTAAACTACCACAAAAAAAATAAAAAAAAATTGTTTATGTGCATTGTGTGATAATAAAATAATAAAATAATGATGGGAAAAAAAAAAATGATAGAACCCCACCAAGCTCCAAATGTTAAGCGCCCACAGCACCTGCACAAAACAAGTAGGTATAGACACTGAACTCAAGCAAAATTCTCTAGTCATAGCACACACCATCAGAGACTGGTCTCTGAAGGGATTCCCTTGTTCATGTTGTCATGTGAAGTCATGGAACTTTTGTTTATTAATACTGCAAACGGTTGGTCAGAACAGACACAAAGCCAAGGTAAGCTGCATTACAAAACTAGGTGCAGCTGCCTAGGTGTTGTATAATTATAGTTGCCATTCACAATAGGTGTGGTTTTGTGATTTAGGTAAAACAGAAGACAAATACATTAAACATTTAATTCCCTCCCCCCCTACAAAACACATACTTTATGCTATTATAATGTCAAACTAATTATTAAATACTTATGGAACTGGAAAAACACAAAAAAAACCTATTCATTAGAAAACAAAAATGCTAACTGGGGCAGAGAGCCAACCTGGACAGAAGAGCAGGTGATGTGCCCTAGCTTCAAGCAGGGAGGGACTTAGGAATAGTTGCCACATGAGCCGAGATTATTGGTTTCAAGAGTTTAGGACATCCCTGTTCCATTTTAGGATAATGCCATTGAGGCTAGCAACACATTTGAAAACACCATGGGTGTTTTTAACGACACTTGCACAAGCTGTTCACTCTCAAGAGAAAGGACATCATAGTATGATGCTTTATTAGGAAAATACAGTACTGCTGTTGAATGCAAGCTCATTATAAGTGTACAAAAATAGTTACTGTCAATATAGTGTGGTGATAAGGATTGAGTGCGGGCAGAGAAAGTGATGCTGTGACTATAAAACCCACTTTTGAACTGGACGATAGCCACTCAAAGTCTGTGGGGCCTCAAGGATATATTCACGGTGAAGGAATCACATAAAATCATGGAAAGTTTAAACGTTAGTTATAAATATGACCAAACAATGCAGCACATTATATATAGAGGTGCAGAGGATGATTATATATTTGTACACTATTCTCAAAACATTGTTGTTCAAACTACAACTCATAAGTTATTTAGTTGGTTAAAATGTTCAGTCATTTTTGCATACGCATAATTTTAAAGGAACACTCCAAAACATCATAACCACTACAGTGCATGATACGTAGCCAAACAGCATGATGGTCATGATGATAACTATTATTTAAAACCACTGCAGTGCCAAAAGGTTAGCTATTGCCAGCCTAAATAATTGTGTATAGAAGAGATATATTGTTAAAATGCCTATCTGTCCCTTCATAAATACACATACACAAATGCAAAGGAGATGGCACTCACACCATTTTACAATTAGGTATTCAACTGTTTATTTGCCAAACATCCCAGTAAGTGGACTGATATGTTGACCTGACTGTAATAGCTGCATACTGTTTGGTGAATAAATAGTTAACTATCTGAAAAGAAGACCAGGTGAGTTGGTCATTTCATTTTGTGGATAGAGAGTGCATGGCTCAAGTGGTGTGTGTGTACACACGCACACACACACTCTAGAGTTTAAAATGTATTCACCATTGGACGTTCATTGGATTTCTGCTCAACAAGGCTAAATTCTCACTCGCCTGAGTAGGGTCTGTATGATATATTTGGTCATCATTGCAAGGGCTAAGGCGAATAGTGCCCTGCAACACTCTAATGGGAAAATTAGGATTGGTTTCTAACAATAAAATAAAATCATCAAATAACAGGTTGTCTTCTATGCCAACTAGAGAGGGGGGGGGGGAAATAACTGTCAGTAGCTACCTACCTAGTTTTGCAAATTGTCCAACAATGAGGGATAGTTCAAGTTTTTTATAATTACTTCTTGTAAGTTTTTCCTTTGGTGAAATAAGTCAAACACACTGTGTTAGATCAGCAAAGGAACCCTTTCTTTCCTTTTAAAAACTATAAGGCAAGCTTGGGAACAGACAGGTAGGTAGATAAAGATATGTTTTTTAATAGACTATAATAAAGTTTGTTATTTTCATACTTACTGTTGAGATTGGACTGAGTCCTTCTCCTATTGGCTATCTTCTAGTAAGATAGCTTTTGGGAATTATCTTTTATCTTATAATTCTTTTGGTTACCCCCTATCACCCAGAATAGGTGACATTACTAAGAGACGGGAGGTGGGTGTCATTTTCCCAACCCTCCGGTCTCTTGTGTTTCTTTTCATTTATTTTATGGCAAGCTTGCTCATTTAAAATGATGCAATAAACCTACAGTTACAAAGAACACTGGGTCAATACACTGGGCCAGTAAAAGAGGCAACCAAGGTGCACATTTGATAAAGTGGAGCAATCATCGTCAACAGTGCATTGCTTTTACATGTCAACTTCACCACTTTCAGAACTTCGCACAAAAACACCCTTTTGTACCTATTCAAATACTACAAGATACTTAATGTATCTTGCATTTCTTTGGACCACATAACCAAACAACACAGTGCAATTCAGGTCAAAGATTATTGAATATCTGATTAGAGCACAAGGATAGCAGGAAAAACAAATTGCTTGCTATATATTTTGTGTGCAAATTCCTTCTTTTTGAGCATGTGAGTAGACTTAGAAAACAGCATTCAATAACAAGCTCTGCCTTTCTTATACACACAGGTACTGACCTGCTGGTGTTCTTAACTCATTGCGACACAGGAAGGGAGAAAGCAACATTTATTTAGTGCAATGATAAAGGCAAATTAAAATAAGAAAATGGCAGGAAAAAAAAGGGAGTGGATAAAAAGTGAGGTGAGAGAAACCGGCACCGAGGATAGCAACACTTTTTGGTAAACAAAAGCTATTTGCAAAAACAGACAAGTTTATGTCTAAAAAATAAATAAATTAAAAAATAAAAAAAGTTACAACTAAGGGTTAAAGAAAACTGCCCTTAGGATTGATGAGAGATAAATACACGCCCTGCTTGTTCCAGCCTCCCACACTTGCACCACACCCTCATTTTATGCACTGTAAGAGTTAAAAAGCAAACCACAGTCTGGAAAACATAAAGCAGAGCTCCCAGCAAGCCTTGCTCCCGAGAATGAGGGGGCCGTGTTCCATTTATAAACTGTTCCATGCTGTAAGCAGGTCCAGTGGAAGAGAGGAGAGAGATGGCAAAATGGAAGGGGGGGGGGATATAAAGCGCACACACACAAAAAATAAATGCACAAAGAAAACAAGTCAAACCGCAGAATATAAATTAAAAAGGGACTGCAGAAAAAGTTAACATGAAATGATAGGAGTAAAAAAAAAAAATAAAAAAAAAATAAATAGACTGGGAGGGTTGTTGTTTTTTTCTTTAAAAAAAAATAATAATAAAGGAGGGATGAGATGGAATTGTAAACAACTAGGTGAGGTGAAGGTGGTTCTGAAGGGCAGCAAATTAAAATATATTTGTAAAAAAAGTGATTGGGCTAAAATGGATGGATTACATATACTGTAGTCATAACTGTAGAAATGCTGTCACATTATGTATCTAAATATAGGGGGAGGGGGGCATGGAATAAAAGGAAGAGAGGCAGCAAACATTCCAGAAATACAGCAAAAACTTACTGCACATTGCTAGCTTGCCATTTTTGTCTTTAAAGCAGTTTTGATCTTTGGTGCCAGGCGACAGCTAAATGAGATAATCAATTACAAAAGGGATCTGGCTTCTGGCCCAGTCACTCACCAAGCTGGGGAAATGGGAAGAAAAGGAGGGAGTGGGGCAGGGACTGAAAAGGGAAAAAAAATTGAGTGCTTCCAAAAGAGGAATAGAAAGGGGTGACACATGGAATGAAATGCAGCAGACAGTATAAAGGAGGAAAAAAATAGCTAGATAGAAGAAGAGCAGAGAGAGAGATTGGGAATTAGGAAAGTAAGATGATTCGTGACAATTGGGAACAGGGAGATAGATGCAATGAAATGGATGATAGAACATCACTGGCGAGAGAGGGAGAAAAACATTAACCCCGGCATGGACATTTAGTACTAGTGCACGGTCTCTGTTTATGATACAACATATCAATAGGAAAGCAAACAGCAGATCGAATAGAAATACCAAACAGATGGGGGTGGGGGAAGCAGGATCAATGCAGGGAGGAGTCCCGGGGAGCTGTCAACACATCTGGCATCAGATGGACATTGTGCTGCAAGCTTTGGATATACTGTTGGCAGTTCATGTTCAGTAATCTTCTGTTCCAGTCATTCTCATTCACTAACCTTGTGCATGCCCCCATTCATTCATGTATACATAAATACCCCAGGGCCACTTATCCATTATGTGTCAATAATATCACAAACATGTTTTTTTTTTGTGTGTGTGTGTGTGTGTGTGTGTGTGTGTGTTTTTAATCCAACATGGTGTTTTAGCTTTCACGTAAACAGTGCAAGATCCTCATTCAAACCTAATCTGGATCCATTTTGGGTGCAAAATTTCAGGAATAATTAGAATTCAGAAGGGAACTTTAAATGACCTTGCTGGGACACACTGCTTTTTAAATACAAACTCCCATGCTTCAGACAAAGTATCTATTGAATTTTGCCAACCTTTTATAATTGTCAGCACAATCACACACCCTCTTTTCAAGGTGCCACCCATACTGTACATTCAGGTTGTTTTTCATAGTACTTTATGGTGAATGTCTTCCATTCATTCACATATTCCCCTACTTTGCACAGATTAAAAACACAGTGGGGTAATAGAAACAAGTAAGTACTGGACTAGCAGAAAAGTGTATGTTTTGTAAAGCTAAACTCTGTAGGGATTCTCCACCTCTTTCTTGTATTCTATTTTTTTTTTAATTTTTTTTTAATGATTCCTTCTTCACCTGGCAGGTGCTGATTGGAAAAAGTTAAATTAAGGACCTGGTACCAATGAGAATCTTTCTGGTTCATAGAGTCTCCACAACCTGTAGGCAGTAGTAAGACTAATCAAACTCAAGGGCGTATCATAACACAATTTGGTCAATCCTTTTGCCAAAAATATATACATTTATGTAAATGACGAGATACATACTGACTTTCTCATTAATTGACAAGATACAGACACTTTCATGCACAGAGTTAATCTACATATGCAAAGAGAGTCACACAAACATGCTTTTAATATAATACTCAGACAGTCTTATGGGGTGATTGTTCATCATAAGAAAGGTGGTCTACTATAAATTGTAGGAATGAGTCCTCCTCAATTTCCGGTAACCATCATTTGTCTGCTGGTTGGGACTGCAGCACCACACTATGACAGGTTATATTGTTCAGAGCAGGTCCAGAAGAGAACACGGCAAGACAAGGCAGCCAGCACTAACAAGTGACGATCCGTGCCTGCAGTCGCTTGTGACTGGTCATCATCCAAGTTTCCACCAGCTATAATCCTAATTTATGTGCATGTAAAGGTGAGGAATTCCCCTCTTATTCACTGAAAGAATAATTAGTCGTGCGGCAGATCATCTGTGGGTGTAGTGAAAGCATATTGCCATTTCCTAGTTCTCCAACTCATAGATTGTGCTCTTGGTTCAGAAGGAGCAAGGCACAGCGAGTATCATGGAAAATTAAATATATATATATAAATCTGGCACTCTACCTTGACGTGATATTCCAAGAGAACCAAGGTGCTGCACAGCGTGGATATATACAAATGAAGAGATGAGAGCACTCAATGGGTTTTGTTCAATCAAAAATTTGTGTTGTGGATAAGGATCAACGTAGATTCTTATCTACAACACAAATTTTTGATTGAACAAAACCCATTGAGTGCACAGAATGTCCACGGGGCAGCCGCTGTGATACCTCACGCCAAAAGAAAAAAAAAGCTATACAGCTTAGTCCACCAGGCCGTCCTATACGGTGTTAAAGATTTCCCGTCAGTAACTAGCTCATCCACATGGAAACGTGCTTTTGTTTGTAGATATGAAAACATCTGTATGACATCACATCCGCATGACCTGAAATCATTACCATGGGCACCACAAAAATGATGTGATGATCAGACTAGCACAGGCAATAGTCTATGCAGGGTATCATACGGACATGAAAACTATGTGAGATAGTCAAAGAAGGTTCAACTATATAGTGCAAGCAGACACGACACATAAACATACCCTTGCATTCACACAAAGACATACCGACGTAAAAAATAATTAGATATATAAACATACTCTGTCTTTGACATGCTGTAGGAGTACTTTACACCAAGTAAGCATTCTATCACAAACACAAATATACCTCTTAGATTACATTGACATGCCACAGAAAAATGTGAATGCAAAAGAAAAAAAATGTCGAACACTCATGTTTGAGGGCTGAATAGAAGTTTACAATTTGAACTTTTGATTCCCGTTTGTATGCTTTGTTCACTCATTTTACAGAATTTAGGAATTTTCTTTATTTTTAGGATATTGGGAAGACTTTGTGTTAAACTGTTCATCCAATTTAAATGCCTTTTAATCCACACCTGAACAAATTAATCCATCTAGGACAGGGGTGGGCAATCTGTGGCCCTCCAGATGTTTTGGACTACATCTCCCATAATGCTCTTAGGACCATAATGCTAACAAAACATCAAGGAAGATGTAGTCCAAAACATCTGGAGGGCCGCAGATTGCCCACCCCTGATCTAGGATTTACTCCACAGGTAAATCGCAGATAGATTGAGACATTATGTGGGTTAACAGGAAATCGATTTGAACGAACCATCTCTCACTTTCGAGAGTACCCCAGTTAGCTGTAATCTAGCACCGGGACAGTCTCCACAATGCAATCTTCCAATCTTCCTCTGGTGAAGTCATTAATTCTGATGAGTTTTGTCCAAATGAATGCTTCTCATAGAGAAATATTGAGATCACGGCACATGCTTAGCCATCTCCACTAATCCAACGTGCCTCTAAAAGAAACACTGGATACACAAAGTTTACAGACTCACTTATTGTATCTATTTTAGTCCCTTTAATGAATGACAGCCATTAGTAGAAAATTACAAGGATAGCACCAATATTCCTTTAAAAATGATGTGATTTTGGTTCTTAGACTATCCTTTTAATATCAGTTAACATAATAATATTAGCACATAATGGAGAGTTTGGCAACCATACATGTCTGTTCAGTAGCCAAAACGGAGAGATATTCATATACCATCTGTTTGGGACACTTTAGAAAAAAAGCAGCATCTTAAAATTCTGGTTTTGTCAAACTAATTCAGGAAAAACAAACAGCCAATTTCTTCAGAGTTATACATGGGGTTAATATGTTCATATGACAGGTGAATATCACAGCATCATACTGAAACAGACAAAATATATATCCAACATATAGAATATTTACCAAGCAATAAACCCAGAGCACGATACATGCAGCATCAATTACAAAAAATACCCACGCTAATATACAGACCTTGCCAATCTCTCAAATATACCCACAGCAGTATACCAAATCTGTCAATCTCTAAAAATTCCCTTAACAATATGCAAGCTCTGCAAAACTTTAAGATATACCAAGAGCAATATACAGAATCTAAGCTTGAAAAATAAACCAAAACAATATACAGAATCCACTAAGTTTGGGGGAGAACATAGACTCTGCCAAACTGTGAAATACACTCACAGCACTGTAAGGAATATGCCAGGCTCTAATATATATACACTCAAAGCAATCAACTGAATCTTCCGAGATTTAATGTATACCTGCAAAACAATACATAAGCTGGTAAGGTTCGAAATATACACATGGCGATACTGTATACATATTCCACCAAACTAAAAATATATTCCTCATTACCAAACTGAAATCATCAACGTATACCTAGAAATTTAAAACAAATTCCATCAAGATGTAAATAAATAGAGCCTGCCAAGCTATGCATATACCTACTACAGCATTACACAGAATCCATCACGCTCTAAAACATACTACATAGTATTGTGCAGGAACATAGTTACACTATAGATCAACCCTAGAGCATTACACTGAACCTGCCAAGCTCAAACGATGCCACAGAAAATTATGGAAAAGCCTGCTAAGAACAAGTTCTAACAGCATTTTGCAGAACTGGGCAGACTCAAGTCATACATATACTTGCGCAGCATTTTATGTGCATAATTTAACAGAACCAGCAATACATTACTCTATATCACAATTGAGTAACTCCTCCTCCCCTCCCCCAAATGCTGCATAACCCTGTATCAAACCAGACAAGCTAGACTATACTGCTCAACTTTAAACAAAGCACACCAGACTGTAAATTAATTGTAAAGAACCTGACAACCTATAGATCTAGCATACAACATTGTCTAGAACCTGCTGATCTATAAATGCAAAGCAATGTATGGAACATACAGAGCCATACAAATTACTGCAGAGCGATAATTAGATTTCAGATCATTATATAAAGCCAATCTAGTAATGCATATTCGGCTTAGACTTGTGTAGAATGTGCACAGTGATAAATGCACTACAGGGAATTATTAAAAAGCATAAAAATGTTCTCACTGATAGAGTATGAACCCTTAGAGCCCATCCTTGCCTGCTCCAGCAGAGACTGGGAATGTGGGAAGCAGGGCAGGTGAAGGGACATCTGTCATGAACAGGTGACAGCAGCCACCCAACTGTGACCTCAAGGGCAACAGAAGAACACGGAAATGAGAACGGGAAGGAGATGTAAAAAAAAAAAAAAAAAAAAAAGTGTGGGGGGGGGGAATAAAGGAAAAGAGAGACAGAGAATAAGTATTTGACATGAAATTAGCATTGCTGGAAAAGGACAGAATGAAAGCAGGGGGAAAGAGCATGCCAGGCGTGATGTCCTGAATGATAAGCTTTACAGCCTGTAGCCCAAGATAAGACGTAAACATTTCATTTCCAAGCAGAATCATCCTCCCTGAATTACAGATGGATCATTTATCTACATACTTCAGTCTTCATATAAACAGTGAAATACTTAAGATTCTAAAATGCTTCCTGTAAGAATATAAATCTGTCTATAAAGTTTACCACCTGGGACAAACCAATCCTTCAGTTTTCAAGACCGCAGAGATCATTATAAGCTTAATTTTGTCATATACCAAAAATGTCAGAATAACCACATAAGCTTCAGTGAAATCACACTGGTCCACAAAATACCACTCTCTAATCGATGTGATTACATGCTTATATCAATAAGTTGTATATTTAAACATATGAATTCCTTATGTCAATTCATTGTATATACCTCGGTAACTGCAATCATTTTAAATCCAGAGTGTCCCTTCTGAGCCTGTCAGGAGGATCATGCAGTGAGCTTCTCTGTCCAACACAAACACAGAGATTGCTAAGGGATCACATCTACAGTTAGGGGACTTTACAAGGATTTAGAACTAACAATATTAATTACAGGACCAGAAGCTATGGCTTTATTTCTGATGTTTTCAGTCTCTAGCTGACCACATGCACAAGCGGGACCCAACCCGTAGACAACTTCAATCACAAACATGAGTCAGATTGCCTGAGAGAGCACTGTCTTTTGTCTTTCTGAAGCTGAACTACTGACTGCTTGACACCCATTACAAAGGAAACATTGAAACTCATGTTTCTAAGAGACTGTTCCTCACAGCCATCTAACTGCACCAGGAGATGTCTGTGATTTTCACAATAACTGTTGGACCTCGGTTCAATGCTTATAGTAATACAGAATAGTAGGAAACAATTGGATAGAAAGTGTATCTGTACTTTGCCTCAGGTTGTGAATGAAAAGCTTATTTGAGACAGTAAATTGGACTTATACATGTTTGTCACTCTTGTTTATACGTAATGGTGTAAGTGTTTGTTTCGATAGATAGATAGATAGATAGATAGATAAACGTATATAAACACTACCTCAGATTAACATTCTCCAGAAAGTATCTACACTTCTACACAAGAGCCTTCTCCCTGACTACTAAACGTGGTTTAGGAAGTGTTTTAAAAACAGAAGGCATCAGCCACCATAGCACATGGAAAGTCTGAGCAAGTTTTCCACTGGGAACGAGGTCTTGTGACAGGGAAACCCCAAGCTTTCCGGAGGCAGACACGAGAAGGGAGAATAGGTCACTGCATACACACAGCAGTGTGACTTGGCACAGCAGCAAAATCTGTCTTCAGAAGACATAGCATAACTGCATGGACAAAAATTTATCTGAAGCCACATGAGCCACAAGTACCAAATAATACAATACACTGCTGCAAAACTGACCAACAAGAGAAGATTTAAAAATTTCATATCAGCTTGGCTATACAAAAGCTGCATTAAACACTAAGACACATATCAAGGCAACAATCATGAGAGAAAATATTTTAAATCACAACTGGCTTCAATCCAGAAGAGGTGAAGTTATATTATTCTTGGAGAGTCATTTTGAAGCTTAGGAAATTAAACAGAATTTCACAAATTAGTCAATTTATGCCTTTAATTTAAATTGAAATGGCTTTATTAATTCTAGATTTCGAATGGATTTGAGGGTGTAAGCACACAAACTAGATTTCATTGCACAAAACTGACGAAGATATAAAGCCAAAAATAATTGCCAGCAAATGCCCCCCCCCCCAAAAAAAAATATAAATCCAATAGGGACTGTCATAAAAAAAAAAAAATTCAGAAAGGAGACCAATATCAATTAACATATGAAAATCTGACAGGGTTATTTATTAAAGTGTAAACCATCAGTAACTCTAAATTAATTTAAACTTGTAGGCCAAAATATCTGAATATAAAACATATTATATGAAATCGTATTTTTTCAGTTTGCCACCAACATGTGGTATTATATTCACTCTGAATTCCCAATAAATCACACTTTAGCAAATAACCTTGTAAAACATAGCTGCAGGTTACAAATTCCTGCAGGCATCCTTAAGGTATTGTGTTCAAGATCGAACTAGCATACCTCTTCCTAGTCAGAACAGAGATATCCTTACACCCCAGGGCATCTGTGATATTGTAATTGGTCATCTCCACCTTAAAATGTTTATGTTTATCAACCTGAGATATCAGTAACCTCTGGAAACCTATTGGGCAGGGCAGTCGGGCTTAGTATCATTTTAGTTACAGGAAGCGAAGGTTGTTAGGAAATTGTAATAAAAGCTGTCCTACAATGGAAGACTGACAATAAGGGTTTTGGCTTTACTCTAGATTGTAAGGGATTATCAAACCCAACAGTTGCTAAAAACTGGCAATGCACCTAAACATGCCAGTTCTAACTACTGACAATGTACCAAAATAATATGGTACCAAAGTATATAACAATGCAATAGCAGGGGAGAGAAAAAACAAAACCAATAAAAAAAAAATCCAACACAAAATGACACTGAACACGAGTATTAAACAGACCAGACTCATCCTACAAACCAATGCCCAAACCAATTATCAATACAAAAGCAGGTGCTAATCTATTCTAATTAAGGTGCAGTCACCATGGAAGTCAGTGAAGGCGTTTCAGCATTTAAGCAGTTTGATCGAAAATGTCACCTGTTTTACATTAATACCCCATATGTAAACTACATGAGACAAACAAAGGCAAATATAAATAAGGAATAAAATCACACACACTCCGAATAAAAATGAACCAATACTATGCGGGTACTTTGGCATAATTCACCTCTACAAATCAAAATTAACCTATAAAAAAAAAAAAAACAAGCACAACACATCTTTGAAGGGGTTCAGTTATCAAATGACATGAAACCCGCTTAATTATTTCTCTTAAATACTGCAGATGCATCTTTCTACCTCAATGACATTGGGGCTTATTGCAGATTATGACTGTAGCAGACCGATAACGTACCCAAATTCTCAATGCCATACTTTGGCGGAGATTCCTTGCACTATGTGTACATATATCTACACACATTCCATCTACTTAAACTCCATTACTCTAAATCGAATGCCTCTCAACCTTACCAACCAAAGCAAAACACTGTATATGTGTACATGCCATATCCACATTAGTATTGTCTGTGTATATTAGGCTTTCAAATTAGACATCTATGGTGCACCAATTGTGATCCACTCCTGTGCTTATCAGCAGAAAAAGCAATGATAATGCTGCTGTCACATTAAATAATGACTTGATATGCAAGACCAGGCAGCATAATTGTGAAATTACAAATGGTGTCTATATAAACAATTATACACAACAGTAACTCAATGAGAATGTAAATAGACTGAGGACATTAAAAGTATGCAGAGATTTACAGAATTATGCAAATGTGCAACAGATGTTACTGCAAGAGGACTTAACACACATACCTTAGTAGAGGCAGGCAGGGATTCCTGCCAAGGTATGGAAGGGAGGTGGGGGTTGACTGCAAAAAAAAACCAAACAAAAAAACCAAATCTCTTACAGCATAACAACTTCACATTGTGCAAGATCGTTGCTCTTTGGGAGCAAGTTTACACCACTGTATATAATATAAGCACACGCCCACATCTGGAACACATCTATATGCTACAAACGGATATTTACACACGGTCAGCATGCTGGATGGACTGAACATTCTACATGAGAACAAACAGAACCTTTCATACAAAGGCACTTAAACTTCCATTTACTTATTATTTCAGCCCGTCCAAAGTATTCAAAAAATAAATAATCAAAATATTTATTTATATTATACACACACATATATACATACATATTACACATACAGACATCTACAAATCTATTTTAAACGTGTGTTTATGTACATATAATATAAATATACACACACACACACACACACACACAGACAAAAGTGCAGTGTGTGTGTACATGTATGCAGTAGCAGTAATGCCAGTATATTACAGTTCTCCCTGTTCTCACTTACCGTAATCCCTCCCCAGCGGCCACCCTGAGAGGTAGTGTGAGTGGATGGGGGGTAGCAGTGCTGTGGGGATGCTGAGCAGAGCAGCTGTTTGATGTTGCAGGGCTGAGTTCCGGCTCCTCGCCCGCCGGGTGTCTACAGCTCGGGCTGCAGCTCAGACTCAGCCAGACACAGCCCAGCCCGGGGGCGGAGCATGGCAACGTCGGTGGGAGGGGAGTTGTTCGTGGAGGCGTGGTTGTTTTCCAGAAAGGTCCGTCCCATAGCATAGAGGATTTAAGGTGGAACCGCTGCAGGACGGAGGGCAGAGAGTGCGGGATGTTACCTGTGCGGGAATGGAGTGAGATATAGTCAATATCACAACATAGCACATCTTCATCCTATCTTAGCCCTGCAACAACACATATATACACACAGCGTGCAGCTTCACACAGACACACTGCTCAGCTGCAGCACAACATTCCTCTTACCCTAGCACACACATTGCTTATCCATCCACGCGCACTGCATCTGGTGAACCTGTTTATCAACACATACACATCGCCTGCATCCTCACAGCAACAAACACAGCACACTTCCTCAGCTTGCAGCAAAATGCATTCATCTTACACCAGTACACACACACACACAGTTTGCCAAGGCACACAGAACGCCCCCTGAGCTTGCACCAGTACTCCTCGGCTCACAGAAGCACATAAATATACACTTTAGCTTGCACCAGCACTCACTATAACCTTGCACGAACAAACACACAGTTTGCGTAATTATACCAACACCCTCCCTGAGTTGAACCATCACATAAAGCACACCCTCGGCTTGCAACAGCATGCAGACACACCTAATCAGTTTATATAAACTCACTTTGCAAGGATTTTTGGCTACACAGGCGAAAATATATTTTACCGCCTCCCCCAAATGCATCTTCATCTGTTGTGTCTCTTAAAGGACCACTATAGTGCCAGGAAAACACTAGTTTTCCTGGCACTATAGTGCCCTGAGGGTGCCCCCACCCTCAGGGTCCTCCTCCCGCCCGGCTCTAGGGAGAGGAAAGGGGTAAAAACTTACCTTTTTCCAGCGCTGGGCGGGGAGCTGTCCGCCTCCGATCCTCCTCCTCTCCGGCCATTCGGCTGAATGCGCACGCGCGGCCACTAGAGGCTTTAGAGGCTGGATTAACCCTATTATAAACATAGCAGTTTCTCTGAAACTGCTATGTTTATAAAAAAACGGGTTAACCCTAGCTGGACCTGGCACCCAGACCACTTCATTAAGCTGAAGTGGTCTGGGTGCCTAGAGTGGTCCTTTAACCCTCCTCTTGTATTTCTTTGCCCCTTTTCTGTTTCTTATCCCCAATGTTTCCCCTTTGTGTGTCTTACACTCCCCTTGTGGTCTCTTACTTTTCTCCAAGCCTTTTTGTGTGTCTCTTACTCCCCTCAGCCCTTTGCATATCTCATACTTCCTCACAGTCCCTTTGTGTGACTCTTTTCCCCATCCCCTCTGTGTGTCTTTCTCCCCAGCTTCTCTGTATGTCTTTCTTTCCCGCTGCTCCTTTGTTCCTTTTTTTGCTTCCCCCGCCCTTCTGTGTCTTTCTCCCCTTACCAAGCCCCTCTGTGCATCTTTCTCCATAGCCCCTGTGTATGTCTACCGCCAGCCCTTCAGTGTGTCTCTTTCTCCCCTTACCCATCTCCTTTTGTTTGTCTCTTTCCCCCATCCCATCTTTGTTGTCCCTTCCACCCTGCTTACCTCTATATTGTAGCATGGTCAGGCAGACTGCAATAGTGTATCTTCTGTATCCTGTACCTGGCCTGACAGGAACCTGTTCATTGCTCCCACCGAGCCCTAAACTGTCAGAACAGGGAGAGGATACAGAAGATCCTCTGTCCGGTCATGCTACATGGCGTGACCGGCAGAGGTGAAGCGCTGTGCACTTTCTTCCTTCTGGTCTCACTGAAAATTGCACCTCCCCCCTCCCACGTTGATGCGCCATAATGCACCTTGTGATTGTGCTTGTCCCGCGTGCATAGTTCACAAATACATATACTCAGTGTAGATCAATACCCACTCAGCTTGTACCAGTACATGGACACACTTCCTTACCTCGCACCAACACACAGAAACTAGGCTTGCATCAGCACACACACAGCTTGTATTTTTACACCAATACACCCCTCAGCTGCATCAGCATTCAAACACGTCCCCTTAGCTTATCCAAATGCATCCGATTAGCTTGCAACAGGGCCGTCTCATAATGATTGGACCCTGGACAAGCATTTGTTTGGTCCTCCTGGACCATGCATCCCCCCAACCAGGGCCGGATTAAGAGCACAGTGGGCCTGGTGCTGACAATAATGATGGGCCTAATTACGGAATCTTATCGACCAAAAACACTAAAACAGTCATACCTCCCAAGCGTCATGTATCTGATGGAGATGGTGCTGGAGGGAAACTCATAGAATGCAGCTATAAGAAAACACATACTCTATGCTAATTTCTCTCTAATTTATGCTTTCATCTTTCAAGTAAATCCATAACCCCTAACAGCAGTGTCCAGTGAAGCAGGAAGTCAATGGGCGGGGTAAAAGGGTATGCCACTGGCGCGAATCATGTGACAAGACCTGCCAAAAAGGGGGCATGTTTGTCCAAAGAATTGGAAGGTCAGCCTGGCATGAATGTATGTCAGGCTGCCTGCCAATCCTGCAGGCTGTCCAACTAAGGGCATACTATGCAGGCAGCACATTAAGCTTGACATAAATGCGTCTAATAATGCGCTCACTCCATGCTTTCCAAGGACTTTCCCCTAGCACTCGCTGGTCCACTTGTCTCCTTACCTTCTTACTAGCAGGCAGAAGTTCCTGGTATATAGTCTGATAGAGAGAAAAGGTGTATGTAGTGAGTGTAGAAGAAAGGGGACATGCCACAGAGACCAACGTCTGCACTACCTAAACTAATTTTAATGTCAGCCAGCCACACAAGTTTTGTTCCCATACATCCCTCTTAAGCTTCCAAACTTAAAGGGACACTATAGTCACCAGAACAACTACAGCTTATTGTATTTGTTCTGGTAAGTAGAAGCATTCCATTCATGCTTTTTGCAGTAAACACTGTCTTTTCAGAGAAAATAACTCCACTGGCCACTCCTTAGATGGCTGCTAGAGGTGCTTCATGGGGCAGTACTGCCTAGTCTGCAGCACTGCCATTCAGTGTCTCCACCCTCTGCATGCAGACACTGAACTTTCCTCATAGAGATGCATTGATTCAATTTATCTTTATGAGGAGATGCTGATTGGCCAGGGCTATGTTGGACTTGTGCTGGCTCTGCCCCTGATCTGCCTAGTTGACAGTCTCAGCCAGTCCTATGGGGAAGTATTGTTATTTGCTCAGACCACCACTTCTGAGCCAGCAGCTGCAGAATTGAATACAAGTAATATTTTACTATATTTAGGGAGGCAAGAAGGGGCCAGGGTGGTGGTTTTAACATAATAGGTTCTGAAATACATGATTGTGTTACTGACCCTATAGGGCTCCTTTAAGCAAGAATATGTGAAGAGTAGTTAAGGTTGCCACCTTTCTTGGAAAAAAATACCAGCCTTAATCATTTGTATAATTAATTAGTTATGCGTGACATCACATGATGTAAATCACAAGGAGTGACAGCAGAGAAAATTCTGTAAAATCACCAACAAACTACTCACAGTTTGATTCTGCTGTATAGATGGATTGCTCCCAGTGTCTCCCTGTCTCCCAGTGTCTCAGTCTCGCAAGTCACCCAGTGTCTCAGTGTCCCTATGTATCACAGTGTCAGTGTGTCTAGTCCCAGTGTCTGTGTCCCCATTTCTCCCAGTGTCCCAATGTCTCAGTGTGTCCCCATGTCACTAGGATACTGGGGACACTGAGAGACATGGGGACACTGAGAGACCCGGGGACACAGAGACATGGGGACACATAGACATTTAGGGAAACTGGGAGAAATGGGTACACTGAGACACTAGGGACACAGACACTGGGAGACATGGGGACACTGAAACATTTGGGGACACTAAGACACTAGGGACACAGAGACATGGGGACACAGAGACTAGGGTACACTGGGAGACAGACACTTGGGGACACTGGGAGACATGGGACAGTTGTGGACATAGACATGGGGACACTGGGACATATGGGGACACCAGGCACACTGAGACACTAGGAACACAGACACTGGGAGACATGGGGACCCTGAAACATTTGGGGACACTAAGACACTAGGGACACAGACACTGGGAGACATGGGGACACTGAAACATTTGGGGACACTAAGACACTAGGGACACAGGCACTGAGAGACTAGGGGATACTGGGAGACTAGGGGACACTGGGTGGGAGACAGACATTTGGGGACACATGGGGACAGTTGTGGACATAGACATGGGGGCACTGGGAAATATAGGGACACTGGGACACATGGGGACACTAAGCACACTGAGAGACATGGGACACAGACACTGGGAGACTTAGGGACACTGAGACACTAGGGACACTGGCTGGGGGACATGGGAACATAGTGTCTCTGTGTCCCAATGTCTCCCAATGTCCCTATGTCTCACAGCATCCCCATGTGTCCCAGTGTCCCATAGTGTCTCAGTGTCCCCATGTTTTCCAGTGTCCCCAGGTCTCCCAGTGTCTGTGTCCCCATGTGTCCTAGTGTCTCAGTGTCCCCTAGTGTCTGTGTCCCTAGTGTCTCAGTGTCCCCATATGTCCCCTAGTGTCTCAGTGTCCCAGTGTCCCCATGTTTTCCAGTGTCCCCAAGTGTCTCAGTGTTCCCAGGTCTCCCAGTGTCTGTGTCTTAGTGTCTCAGTGTCCCCTAATGTCTGTGTCCCCATGTGTCCCCTAGTGTCCCAGTGTCCCCATATGTCCCCTATTGGCTCAGTGTCCCCATGTGTACCTGCTGCCTTTCCTCCATCCCTCACTTACCTGAGCTGTAGAGCTGCTGTCTGGACTCTGTGCTGTGTTGCTGCTCCCCCACGGATCAGTGAGTAGTAGAGAGAGGCAGGGATATTCTGTAACTTCCTATCCCTGCCTCTCTCCACACACAGTGACAATGTGCACACACTTGGCCATCCACATGATCTAAAAGGATCTAAAAGGAAATGTGATTCATCAGACCAGGCAACCTTCTTCCACTGCTCTGTGGTTCAGTTATGATGCAAACATCCCCATTGAAAGCACTTTCGATGGTTGACAGGGGTCATCATGGGCACTCTGGCCAGTCTGTAGCTATGCAACTCCATACGTAGCAAGCTATGATGCATGGTGTGTTCTGACACCTTTCTACCATGGACCATGGACAACATGAAATTATTCAGCAATGTGAGCAACAGTAGCTCTTTTGTGTGATCAGATCAGACTGGCTAGCTTTCGCCCCCCCCCCACATGTGCATCAATAAGCCTTGTGCACCCTTGACCCTGACGTCAGTTCACCGGTTATCCTTTCTTGCACCACTTATGGTACTATACTAACCACTGCATAATGGGAAAACCCCACAAGACTTGCCATTTTAGAGATGTTCTGACCCAGTCTTTAGTCATCACTAGTTGGCCATTGTCAGAGTCACTCAGATCTTTTTGCTTGCCCATTTTTCCTGCTTCCAACACATGACATTCAAGAACTGACTGTTCACTTGCTGCCTAATATATTCCAACCCTTGACAGGTGCCATTAATATATTCCAACCCTTGACAGGTGCCATTTTAACAATATAATCAATGTTTTTCAATTCACATGTTAGTGATTTTAATGCTGTGGCTGATCAGTGTGTGGCAAACGTGCCTATGCCACGAGCTCTTGGAGGAGCCTGCTAGCTAGCCTCCTGCCTAAGGACTATGGGCCGTATCTAAATACCCTGTTTGGGAGTTAAATCTCCCCAGCCACCATTAGCAACTTTTCCTGGGTGCCCCTGGTTCGGTACTTTCCCTTCATTTTAATGGAACCGAACACGAGCTCCCCGGCGGCCGTTCGCATGAAGAAACCCACAAATTGTCCTCATCGGTACTTAACTGCGATTGTCATGGCACTAAATTTGCCATGAGGACTTCATGGGTTCCCGGTCACCACAGCGGGACTTAGCCACAAATGTTATAGAACTGTTTTTGGCATGAGGTGACTGTGCAACTCCCGGACAACTTGGGATTTTGGCAACCCACCAGGAGTGCTTTTTGGAGGGAAGGTGTCTGAGACTAAGGGGCCCAAACCAGTGGCGTACACATGACCCATGGGGCCCCGGTGCAAAAATTGATCCGTGGGCCACCTCCCCGCGCTTACTTGGCGCGGGTCGGGGTCGCAACACATGGTGGCGGGCACCTGGTCGCAGGGGTTGCAGGGCTGCGACCCCGCGACCGCGGTATTCACACACACTTAAAGGACCACTACAGACACCCAGATCACATCAGCTCAATGAAGTGGTCTGGGTGCCAGGTCCCTCTAGTTCTAACCCTGCAGCTGAAAACATAGCAGTTTCAGAGAAATGGCTATGTTTCACTGAGGGTTAATCCAGCCTCTGGTGGCTGTCTCATTGACAGCTGCTAGAGGAGCTTCCGCGATTCTCACTGGGAAAATCACAGTGAGAAGACACTGAACGTCCATAGGAAAGCATTGAGTAATGCTTTCCTATGGGCGGTTTAAATGCGCGCGCGCGCCTCTTGCCGCGCATGTGCATTTCGGAGCTGAGTGGTGGACACTGGGGAGTCCGACGCTGGAGAAAGGTAAATGCTGAAGACACACACACAAACTCTCACGAACAGACGCATACACACTAGCTAACAGACACACACATTTACTGACAGAGACACACTCAGCGACAGACATACATACACACTCACTTACAAAACATACACTTTCACTGACAAACACACACTCACCAACAGACATCAAACACACTCAGTAACAGACACACATAGTAACACACTCACTAGCAGACACACACCCAATAACAGACACATTCACTGACACACACACTAACACATGCACTAACACAAACAAACACTGACACGCTAACACACACACACACTAACACACACACACACTAACACACACACACACACTCTAACACACACATACACTAACATACACACACATACACACACACATACACTAACACACACACACACTAACACACACACACACTCTAACACACACATACACTAACACACACACACACACACATACACTAACACACACACACACACTAACACACACACACACTCTAACACACACATACACTAACATACACACACACACATACACTAACACACACACACACACTAACACACACACACTCTAACACACACATACACTAACATACACACACACATTTTTTTTCAAATTTAATCCCCCCAGCCTCCTTACCTTTTGGAGTGCTGGGGGGATTCCCTGGGGTCCACTGGTGCTGCTGGGCTCCTGGGCGGGTGGCCGGTCGGGCAGGCAGGCAGGCGGGCGCGCGAGGGAGCACTCAGTGCTTCTTCTTCAGCTCCCTCGCGCGCCGCTTAGGGATGCCGGAGCCGGAAGATGACGTCATCTTCCGGCTCCGGTATCAGTGCGGTGCGCGAGGGAGCTGAAGAGGAAGCACTGAGTGCTCCTTCGCGCGCCCGCCTGCCGGGTGACAGCAGGGCCAGCCTCAGGGGGGCCCTGGGGTGGTCGGCCCCTGGGCCCCCCAGGAGAAGAGGCTGGCCCTGTGGCTACATACCGGGTCGCAGGGGCGGCCAGGCTCCCTGGTGGGCCGGGCCCGGTCGCAGCCGCGACCCCTGCGACCCTGGTATGTACGCCACTGGCCCAAACACTACCTAAGAGCCAGCCGGGGCACCCTATATTTCGGACACAGGAGCTCCTGAAAGTTGACCAGCCAAAGCACCAAACGCCCTGGAACTGTTTTGGGCATAGGACCACGTGTGCGGCCGGTCAGAACTTTAACACAGTGGCGTTTCCCCTACACTGCATGGATCTGAGCGCTATTTGGAGAACTTGGGTGCTCAGGACTATTTAATGATGTATTATTTGTGGGGTTCTTATATATTTTTATGATGTTTTGGGGTATTTTTATGTTTTATATTTTTATGTTTGCCTCTCCGTTCCTGGAAGATAATTTCGGTCTTTAACGCAATTATCTCCTAGGCACAGAGATTTATGGGAGGGGCTTAGCTTGCATTAAATGGAGACCCCATGCTGGGGTCTGTGTATAAAAGCAGGCAACTTGGCCATAATAAACCATTTACACCCTTCACTCAGCCTCGACCAGTGTCTGGATGTACCAGCTATACAGCTATACTCTCTGCAGGAGAGCTCTAATGAATAGAAGAAGGATCCAGGACCCTGTTCCAGGGTGGAAAGCGACGTCAAGACCCTGGCTAAGCTGCGGCGGCTTGGGGCTGAAGTGCTGATGGAGAGCTCTAATCACTAGAAGCTGGATCCAGGACCCTGTTCCAGGGTGGGAAGCGACGGCGAGACCCTGGCTAAGCTGCGGCGCCTTGGGGCTGAAGTGCTGATGATGTCCCAGCGATAGTTACAGAGCGTGTTTGGCGGAGGTACCCAGTTGGGGTAACAGGCGGTCCGCAACACAGTGTTTGTACACATATAGGCTCCATGTTTACAACCAGCATGCATTAATCTGTTGCATGTGGTAGGTTCAAAATGCACACATAGCCTGCTGTCACGACTACAACTGTGCTCCAACACGCAAAACTATGTAACATCTACATAGACTATAGAAGATAGAACGTAAACCGGCCCTTAGAATGGCCGGGTTAATACATTGAAAGACAGAAAATGGTCAAGGGAAAGCTGAGGTGAAGGAAGCCAGAAATACACAAGATTGATAAGGAAAGCCAAGTCAGGGAAACCAGAGATAAGGGTAGTCAGGAATAGTCAAAGTCAAGATACCGGGAAGATCAAATAACAGGAACAAGGAAAACACACTATTGGGAACCAGCCCATTGCCCTGTGAAACCACGACAGGGCAATGGGCTAAGGAACTCCAGGGGTTTACCCCTCCTTGTGCTGTGATTGGTCAGAACTTGGCCTCTGACCCCAGAACGTGCTTGTGCGCACGTTCGCGTGACCCTTGGAGGAAAAGCTACAAATGGACGCAACCTTTTTGTGTGCCACTTGTGGAGGGGACAGATGCCCCAGCATTAACATTAATGATAAACCACTCATAAGTGACAAGTGATCGAAGTAAAAGACCAGTCCTGCACGATCAAAGTCTTTAAAACCACCAATGAGGGAAAAGAGACACAATAATTTACTTCATAAAAATTCACAATCTATGAGATTGTCTAGTGTCTGCTCTGTTCTCCAAGCAGTTTACTGTATAGTGCAGATAGCTGGCAGTCCATGCCAAGAAATGGAATCGATCACCTACAATTCATCATCCAGTCTGGTAAGATGGTGTTCCCAGACCAAGTACGTTTGGCAGCTTCTGCCAAGAAGGTTTGTGCCGTAGACATGTCCTAAACTTCCCTGGGATGACAACAATGTACCTGGAACTTTGCCCAAGTAGCACACCTCCAAGGCATCCGAGAAGACATAGATAATCTGCCAGTCATGATCTTCCTGTCTCAGTCTTTCAAGTGGCTTGTGTAGTTCCATTGTAGAAATGACAGCAAGGTTTTTTACTAGTTGTTAGATTGTTGATAAAGAAATAATTTATCTGTGGTGGAGGAGACCAAGTTAACACCTATTTGCTGGCCCAAAGTCGCTCAGGAATTATGCTATCAGTTCCCACACCGCATCACTGCAGGAGAAGTCTCTTAAAATGTTCATTCCAGGTTGAAAAGTTGAGTGTCTAGAACACTACAAATAGCAAGTGTAATAATTTGGTTCTACAAATCCCCAGTAAGTTATCAGACTGGTTGGTGTCTTTCTCAGTTGTTTCATGAACCGGAATATCATCTGAAGATAACAGACAAAAGATATAAGGTTAGCTCCCACACCCATCCAGCATGGTGGTCAGGCCCCTGGTCAGAATTGCAACCGCCACGAAAACATAGATACATATGACTACCACTTATATGCATACATACATGGACCAACCCACTGAAACATGCATATAAACAACCACTTAAACATTACTAGCTTCATAGACCTTGGCTCTCATATCTGTATACATACCTAGACCATTGATGACTATAGTGAAGTTTAAAAATGGTACAAATACATAGCTACTGGCAGGGCTGTCCCATCCATAGTTCCTGGTGGAACCATGGCTCCAGGCAGCACTCTGACAGAAATGGCATTTTGCCGCACCTATAACAGGCCACGAGGTGGCTGCAGACTGTCCTGTCAGATCCTCGGTCCATGACCACGGACCCGACACCAGGAGTGGGCCTGGCAACTTGCCCTGTATGCAAGGTCCATAAAGACATGGTTGGATGAGTTTGGTGTGGGAGAACTTGATCGGCCAACACAGAGCCCCGATCTCAACCTCATCGAACACCTTTGAGATGAACTGGAATGAAGATTGTAAGTCAGGCCTTCTCATGCAACATTAGTGCCTGACCACACTGCTCTATTGGATGGTGTAGTATTCTCAAGTTACCAGGAGAACGCAGAATTCATTGAATTTTATTATATTTGCAATACAGTGTATTTGGCAACATTTAGTTGTGTTTTAGCCATAGACTTTATTGATTTTATTTTATTTTTTGCATCTCTCCAATTTGTTTTACTGTTTTCTGACACCATGCAGAAAATTATACAAGAAGACTCTGGGGCAATTTTTCCTTGGTAGGGATAATACCACCTATGCTGTAAATACCAAGCAATCCTACTGCTCCATAATATGTAAATATGGTTTCTATGTTATATTTAACAACTAATCGTATCAGAGACCACTATTTTCATTTATTCAGTTTTTTTTCTATTTTATGTTTCTACTGATAAAGACATCAGAGATATCTACTAGGTACCACCTTATGCCTGACCTGTTGAGCTTGTGTCACATGCTCCTTTTTTGTGAGTGTATTACCTCTTTATTGATTACTCACTATAAGTTACAATATTACATTATATATTACATAGTTACATAGCTAAAAAGAGTTCAGCCTTTCTCACATTTGTTTTTGCTTCTTGCACTGAATTCTGTGCGAACAGACCGGGAAGTCACTCATTTCCTCCTTACGTGCGTTTTGGCACGAATGAGTGCACTGGTCCCCCCGTTTGTACCTATTCTGCATGAATGGTCTGGTCTTTGTGTGCGACCTGACATTCGTGGATCTCCTGACATTCATGGAGACAACACCCGGCGAAACGCCATTGTAAGGGCGAGGAGTCTCGGAAGGTCGCTAGCAAGGGCGAGGCACCCCTTAAACGCAATAAGTGCCCTGTACCCGCGGCCCCAACATTTCCTAAAGAAATTTCCTTGGATGAGGACAGGGATATGCTCCACTACCTCTCCATCTTGGACAAGTGGCAGGCAAGAGGTCTCTGACGATGGCGATTGTGGCTCCAACGCCCACGTCAGGGAGACCTTTCTGGGTGAGCCCCAGAATAAAGGGGATGCGGAGTCATCTACTACAGCTGCTACACAAGACCAGGAGATCTTTCTGGATTCCACGGGTCAAAGGATGTTCGACCCTAGAAACATACGACATCCCTGCTCCACCGGAACATCCCCTTAAGTTCATGCTCTTCTGGATTCGCAAACCCCTGGAGAAGCATGTCCGTAAATGAATGAGGGCGGAATGCCCTAGACAGTCCCTGCCAGATAAGGTGGCATTCACACCGGAATTTGACCAACTCATGTTGGCCTTCATGGAACGAGGTGGTCGTGACCACGGGTCGAGCGAAACTTCAGAGGGGCACAGGACAAGCTTCTGGACGCAAAGGGGGCACTGGCCAGTGTATTGTACCTGGCGGATGACGCTTACGCCAGCGCAGACTCATTCAATGCGGATATGGTGCATGAATGGGCACACGACATCAGACATCATTTGGAGAGGCATTCATGAAAGAACTGAACAAACACATGAACGTGTTCCCCTCCTTAAACAGGGACCACACCCTGTTTCAGAGGCACCCCTTCCAGGGGCCGTGCCACCAGCCGATTTTGGCCATCATGCCCCCGTATAGGACATCCCCAACAATTCTACCCACAGAAATCCTATCCGGAATCGGGTTTGAGACAGCACTACCCCTATTACCAAAGGGGATCAGACAAAGGCCGGGGAGGCCACGGATGTGCCCGTGCAAGGTTCCCCACAGGTTAGAAACAAAAATATGCCAATGCCTTTATTAACCATGACTGCCGGCCGTGTTTCTCTTTTTTCCCGGAATTGGGCAAAACTATCCACAGATGCTTGGGTGTTACAGGCGGTCAAAGGCTACCGCATCGAACTGCAGACGCTCCCCACACAAAGGCGACCCTCTCATCCCCTCATAGAGTTGGAGCTCCATGAATTACACACAAAATGCGAGATACAACCCGCACTCGAACAAGGGGGCTTCTGCAGCAACATGTTTAAAAAAAAACAAAAACGGAGACTTCAGACCTGTGATAAATTTAAAGGAACTGAACATCCATGTTACATACCGGCACTTCAAAATGGAAGGCATACACTTACTACGGGATCTCCTACAAGAAGGAGACTGGTTTACGCTTCTAAACCTCAAAGACGCATATCTATCGATTCCAATTCACGAGGACAGTCGTCCCTTTCTTCAGTTCCTATGGCACAGTTTCCCATGGCAGTTCACTTGCCTCCCTTTTGGGCTCAGTTCCGCACCCTGGTGTTTCACAAAAATGCTGAAACCGGTGGAAGCCGACCTCAGGACTTGACGGGTCAGATGTATCATCCACTTGGACGACATACTCCTGTTCTGCAGGACGAGCGATCTGGCTCCACGACATACCAACTATACGATACAGTTATTAGAATCTCTGGGATTCGTTGTCAACAGGGCCAAGTCCGCACTGACCCCCGCTTGCACAATTCAATCCCTGGGCTTCGAAATAAACTCCAGGTCCTGCACACTCCACCTTCCGTCTACCAAGGTGTCGGCCATCAGGACAGAGATACGCAAGGTCCTCAAGCTCGATTCTATCCCGCTCTGACAACTGGCGCAGATCGTTGGCCTACTCTCCTCCTCAATCCAAGCCATATTTCCAGGCTCCCTGCATTATCGGCCATGCAGCAGCTGAAGGCCCGCTTCCTCAGACAAAATCCCACATACAATCAGCCGGTCCCACTGACAGACGAGGTGTGTCAGGAACTCAAATGGTGGCTCAACTGCATGCAAGCATGGAATGGTCGAGCCATCTTTGGCAACCACCCGGATTTCATTCTGGAATCAGACGCGAGCCGATGGGGATGGTGCGCCACAGATGGGGACCCATCCACGGGTGAGACATGGACGACGTGGGAACTCGCAATGCACATCAATTGCCTGGAATTATTGTCCAGATCATTCGCTATACGAAGCCTGACGAAAGGGCAATCTAACTGTTGTATCCTTCTGCGGATGGACAACATCTCTGCAGTACGGTACATCAACCATTTGGGAGGGGCTCGTTCACAAACATTAGGGAAATCTTCGACTATTGCCTACCACGCAACATCACGATCAAGGCCGAACATCTACCAGGGGAGTCGAACCTCAATGCAGATTGGTACTCCCGACATTGGAGAGAGGCCAGCGATTGGCAATTGAATCCACAGATCTTCACTTACCTGAACGATCGGAGAGGACCATTCTTATTGGATCTGTTAGTATTGCGCAACAAACATCAGCTACAACAGTTTTACAGCTGGCTTCCGGACCCGGATTGCACGGTGGTGGATGCCTTCACCCAACACTGGCCCGCACAAGGGGCTTATGCCTTTCCCCCTTTCGCAATGATTGCGAGAGTACTTCACTACATTCGTAGACAGGAACCCTCCTGACACCGCTATGGCCGAGCCAACCCTGGTTCCCAGGCATCCTCGAAATGTCTTGCGAGGATCTAATTCTCCTGCCGAACTACTCAACCCTACTCCGGGACCCAGTGGGGAATCCACACCCGATGCTTCTGGATGAACGCTTGTCCTTGGTGGCCTGAACTATTTGCATGGTGTACCTACAAGTTATCGTCAACAACTAAAGACCTATTGTGGGACTCCTGGGCCCCAGGAACACGAAAGAGCAACCTATCTGCCAGGCCATCTTGGACTAGTTTGTGCGTGGGACGGGACCTGGATCCCTTTACAGCTCCTGTTTCCGAGATCATGAATTTCCTCTCTTCCATCTTCGAGGAAGGTAAGTCATATTGCACCATCAATGTCATCAGGTCAACTGTATCAGCAGCCCATGTACCATCCCAAGGAAGAGTGGTTGGCCAAGATCCACTGATCTGTCGACTACTAAGAGGCATCAAACTGAGACGACCTCCGGCACCCAAGTATCAACACCTATGGGATGTGGAAGTGGTACTCCAAATTCTGAGGGGATGGCCACCTAACTAGCTTCTGTCCTTAGGACAATTGACAGCTAAATTCACCTTCTTATTGTGCCTAGTCTTGTTTCGCTGAGTCTCAGACGGATGGGCGCTTGATTCGGACGCCTTTACTATCGGCCCAGAAGGGGTCACTTTCCGCATTTAACGAAGAACCAAA